TTCCAAAATCATCAAAATATTAGATATTACTTTGCCAACCACGAGCCACCGAGTATCTAAAGTATCTAAAGTGGAGGGGAGTAGTAGTTCCGTGCTGGTTGGAACTCTATAACTTTAATACATTACTTCAAGCTAGTGTGAACAACGGGACACAAGCAAGAACTAAACAAGTCCTTCGGGATGTGCAAACTGAATGAACTTGTGTTTGGGTATGCAGTATGACTTTAATTATGTATATATTTTACGATGTATGCATGAATGTATATTGTCATCACTCAACATGATGATGATTGTCATGGTCAGGGTGATTGTTATGGGGCACTGTCACGGTGCCAGTGTCATGGTGACATAGGATCATGGAGGAAGAGAAACGGACCCTGTAATATAACCAGTGACAGCTCTCAGTGACATGTCAGCCCTGGCTGTCAGTGTGACATTACGCTGAAGGGCCTCACACTAATAACCTCACACTAATAACCTCACACTAATGACCTCACACTAATAACTTTTTAAAGTAAAAAGTAACCAGTACTTTTTTCAACCTCATGTCGGACTTAGACGCGCTGGTGGCTGGGTGGACAGCACGCTGGACACGTAATCCTGTGGACCGGGGTTCGATTCCCGGCGCCAGCGAAAAACAAAAATGGTCAGATTTTCTTTCACTCTGATGCCGCTGTTACCTAGCAGTAAATAGGTACCTGGAAGTTAGACAGCTGTTAAGGACTGCTTCCTGGATGTGTGTGTGTGTGGGGGGGAATTGTTAGTAGGGTGCCTGCGCTATGAAAAAAAACGAAAATATGAAAATGGAAACACACATAAGACAGTCAGATCATATTATATAACGACAAAAATAATGTTAAGGATCTAGGAGTAATAATGTGGGAGGACCTTACCTTTAAGGAACACAATAAGGTAGCCGTCACAACTGCAAGAAAATTGACAGGTTTGATAACTAAGAGATGTCATACCAGTGATAATAGTCTTCGGGGACATTAGTGCTCTCTAGGGTGGAATATTGTTGCACAATAATAGCCTCAAAGCTGAAGATACTGATTACCTTGAGAGTGCGTAACGATCATTTAGTGCTAGAATCTACCCAATGAAACATCTAAATTATTGGGCCCGAGTAAAAAGTGCCCTTGTAATATACACAGATTTCGCGAAATTTTTCGACATGTGTGATCTTAAGAGTTATTTACCTTTTGGTTATCTTTCGAGGATTACGTCCCCGTGGCCCGGTCTCTAACGCAGGCCTTCTGGTTGGTGGTCTGGTCAACCAGGCTATTTGACGCAGCTGCTCGCAGCCTGACGTATGGAATAAAAATGAGTAAGAACAATTCGCACTTTCATATCTTAACACACCGTAAAGGTGTTGGTGGTGTCAGTCCTGTTAAGTTATAAGTCCTCTTAAGTCATAACTTAAGAGGACACAACCACAACTTAAGACACAACCGCACCGTCTACCACAATTCTCACAATATTTAGCTGTTGACGGCGTTCCTGAGCACTGTGCCTCACATTGCTCCAAGAACAGTTGACACACTACTTCATCTTACAGTAAACGCCGTATGTAAGTCGTTCACCTTCCGTGGATGTTAAGACGTCTTCATCCCCCCCCCCCCCACGCGTTCGTGTAATTGGCTGTCGTTATTGTTGGGAATTCGGCTTTATTTTTATATTTTTTTCCCAGTATTGGGCAGCGTCACTCATCCTGTGACTCGCCCATACTACGAGTTAACATACCGCCATTATCAGGGCCAGATTAAGACCTTTACACGACCAAAGAACTAAACAGATTATGGTACCCCGATATACCTTATAGAAATTCAATATATATATATATATGTCGTACCTAGTAGCCAGAACGCACTTCTCAGCCTACTATGCAAGGCCCGATTTGCCTAATACTACGCCAAGTTTTCCTGAATTAGATATTCGATTTTCTATAATTTTTTTCTTATGAAATGATCAATTTTTCTGCCCTTTTGCACTATGTATGAGGTGGAGATGTTTGAGATATATATCTCGAACTATCTACTTCTTTTGTAAGGTCTGATGGCGTAGTGGGTTAAAGCATACTAGTTATGCCAGCTACTGGAAGGTAGTTGTGCTTTCTGGGTTCGAGTCCCACTGGTGGGTGTTGTCCAAAGATTGTTAATCTTCACTTGTGGTAAGCTGGACACGAGTTCTCTCACATTGACAGTGGCTTGACGAAAAATGCAGACTGACCCCTCACTCATCTGGTGCCTTCGGGAGGTGGATGTTTGAGATATATACCGAACATCTACCAAGGTCTACCGTAGTGGGTAACATACTATCTTTATAGGTTAGTGTTAGGTTAGGTAGCCGAAAAATCTTAGGTTAGCAAGTTAAGTTAGGTAGGTTAGGTAGTCGAAAAAAATGCAGACTTATTTCATGAAAGATGTTGAGCTTATTAGGCAAATCGGGTCTTGCATAGTAGGCTGACAAGTGCGTTCTGGCTACTAGGTACGACATATATATATATATATCATAGTTTTTTTTTAATATATATATATATATATATATATATATATATATATATATATCTGTTGTGCAATATTGTAACTTAAAACTGGGTCAAGTTTGTACATACCAGTACTAACACTGAGAAGATTTAGACACTGACTGATTAGGGCAGACTCAATTAAATTCCGTTCCACAAAGTCATTGCAATTGGTAATGCTTTTCGCACCATCCCAATTAATAGTGTGATCACACAAATTTGTGTGTATACAAAGCATTAGACGTTTGAGCAGTTAGCTAATCTATGTTAGTCTGCCCTAATCTATACCTTTTTCTTCTTAATTCTTTCCCCGGGGATGGTGGTCGTAGCCTCCACTCTCCCTTTGTGATTTCTTTGTTTGATGTTGACAACGGCCTTGATCGGCCGAAACGTTATCTTTTTCCATTTCCCTGTGGATTTTCCGATATATATATATATATATATATATATATATATATATATATATATATATATATATATATATATATATATATATATATATATATATATGTCGTACCTAATAGCCAGAACGCACTTCTCAGCCTACTATGCAAGGCCCGATTTGCCTAATATGCCAAGTTTTCATGAAATAGTTGTTTTTCGACTACCTAACCTACCTAACCTAACCTAACCTAACTTTTTCGGCTACCTAACCTAACCTAACCTATAAAGATAGGTTAGGTTAGGTTAGGTAGGGTTGGTTAGGTTCGGTCATATATCTACGTTAATTTTAACTCCAATAAAAAAATTGACCACATACATAATGAAATGGGTAGCTTTATCAATTCATAAGAAAAAAATTAGAGAAAATATATTAATTCAGGAAAACTTGGCATATTAGGCAAATCGGGCCTTGCATAGTAGGCTGAGAAGTGCGTTCTGGCTATTAGGTACGACATCAAACACCTGTTATTCTAAAAGCTTTCTTGCCTTGAAGATATGTAACAAATCTGCTTCAATACATAGCAAAGATGAGCCCTCCAACCTGTCTTGTCACACAGTTGTTCTCTTAGGATTTTGAATATACACTATACACTATACACTGTACTTCAACCGAGAAAACGAACGCTCGGCTGGACAACTTCTGACCATTAGGGCTAAAAATATAAAGTCAAAATGGGCTTCCTACCACTCCATCAGGAGAGGTAGGAAGACGGGCTAGGCCAGGAGTGAAGGCGCGCCAGCCAAGTGGCTGTGGTATTGACCTCATTTGGTGATAGGTGGTGAGAGGGAGCGAGTGACACAGTTGGTGAGTGTATTAATGCCTGCCTCATTATCTTGCAGCTGGCTGGGGTAGCTAGCTGGAGATGCAGCAATGGTTTCTCCAGCTGCTCTCCCCCTGAGCCCTCTCTCTCCCTCCCTCCCTCCAAGACTACACTCCCCTCCCTCCAAGACTACAACTTTTCAAAGGCATTTGACAAGTGATTTGACATGGAGTGATAGCCCATAAAATGAGATCAACAGGAATAACGGGTAAAGTAGGGAGTTGAATTTTAAAATTTCTGACAGAAAAAATGCAAGAAGTAACAGTAAATTAAATAAAATAAAGTCCATACACAAGCTCTGTAACCCAGGGTACAGTTCTTGCACCACTGTTCTTTCTCATTCTTATATCAGATATAGACAAAAAACCTAGTCACAGCTTCGTGTCATCCTTTGCATATGATACAAAAAGTTGAATGAAAATATTCTCTGTAGAAGATAATGAAAAACTACAAGCCGACGTTAACAGTGCCGAATAAGCAACGGAAAATAACATCTTATTGAATACAGAGAACACTGTTTTACAGTGATAAATTCCTATATTTGCACAGTAGAATAACAACATACTGGAGCGAAAGATATAGAAGGAATTGCAGAATAATACCCGTGAGCACTAGAGGTGCCATAGGCACAATCAGAGAGCACTAGAGGTGCCATAGGCACAATCAGAGAGCACTATCTGATCATCGGAGGTCCACAGCTGTTCAACACCCTGCCAGCAGGCATTAGAAATATTCCCGGAACAAAGGTGGATGTCTTCAAGAAACAAATAGATAAGATCCTGCAAGCAGTGCCGGACCAATTGGGATGTACAGGATTTGCGGGCCTGCGGGCCGCTCCAGGCAACAGCCTGTTGGACCAAGTTATCACAATTTAAGCCTGGCCTAAGGCGGGGTTCGGAGAGTAGAACTCCAGAAACCCTCTCCAGGTATGCTTCAGATATAAATAGATGGAAAGATAGATAGATATACATATGGATGGATAGATGGATGGAAGGATAAACAGATGGATACGTACATAGATAAGTGGATACATGCATAGATGTATCCAGTTCTCTGTACTAGATGCGGGATCCCTGGTTTATCTCAAGCGTAGGTTAGACATATATAGGAGTGATTGAGGATAGGTCTGAATAGGAGCTGCCTCGTTTGGGGCACGAGGACTTCTGTAATTTTGTCTATTCTCATGCAACGACCCTCTCTCCCTTTTCCAGAACAAGATGATGGCCAACGGGTGGAATGCCCTAGGAATGGGCGGTAGTGGCGTGGGCGGCAGCTCAGGCATGGGCGGCATAGGCTCATTACCACCCAGCTCTCTAGGCTCGCTGGCCGGGAGCAGTTTGGGTGGGCTTGGCGGCAACATGGGCATGATGGGCGGCAGCATGGGTGGGTTGAACACCCTGCTGAACGGAGGTGGTGGTCTGAGTAGCGGGCTGCTCAACGGCCTGGCTGGCCTCACGCCCACCGACATATCCGCCCTCACCTCCCTCACTGGCACCATCAATGGCATCAATGGCAGTTTCAGCAATGGTCTCAACGGCGTCAACAGTCCTGTCAACAGCAACAGTTTGAACGGCAGTATAGGTAAGGACAGAGGATTTTTTGTCGTAATAAGCAGTCACTTCATTACACAGGATTCGTGGGATTACTCAGGGATACACAGGATTACACCTATGTACACGGGATTACTTAGATACACAGGTTACTAGGATAATATCATACTGATCACACCAGTGATCAATCATGATCATTGATCATCGAGGTTAAAGAGTTGTTCATGGTAATTATCGTTTTAAGTTGTCCGCTTCCCTTGACTGTCAGTATGACAAAATAATGTATTTCATAGGTTGGTAACTATTTAAGAGTTATAATTATTCAATTTAACACAGATAGTTAGCCTATTCCTCAAAGGGTTCAACGTACCTGGAACATACCTGGAGAGGGTTCTAAGCGTTCTTTTACTCCCCGAGCCCAGTCTGAGACAGGCTCGACTTGTGATAACTTGGTCCAATAGGCTGTTGCTTGGAGCGGCCCTCAGGCCCACATATCCACTACAGCCTGGTTGGTCTGGCAATTCTTGCAAGAACTTATCTAAGTGCCTCTTGAATACATCCACTTTGTTCCAGCAATATTTATAATGCTTGCTGGGAGGGTGTTGAACAGCTGTGGACCACTGATTTTTTCAGACAGTGTTCTCTGATTGTGCCTATGACACCTCTTCTCTTCATTGGTTTTATTCTGTATTTATTTCCCTGTTTTTTCGCTCCAGTATGTTGTTATTCTACTGTGCAAATTTGGAACCTGGGCCTCCAGTATTTTCCACGTAGATATTATTTGATACCTCTCTCATCTCCTTTCCAAAGAGTACATTTTGAGAGCTTTGAGACGGTCCTAATAATTTAGATGTTTTATCGTTTTGATGCGTGTCGTATATGTTTTCTGTATTCCCTCTAATTCAAAACGTAAGGCTAGGAGCGAGTGTCCAGGTAGCCTATCCCTTATAAGGTTCAGCGTAAGGCTTGGAGAAAAGGACACTGCTCCTATGCCAGGTAAGTTACGGGCTCACCATAGCCCGTGCTACTTGGCACTTGTTCCGAGTCGCTGAGTCTATAACAACAACAACAACAACAGCTTGGAGAAACACACTGAAGAAAATGACATAAGTTTGTGCCAAATAAAACTTTTTAACGGCATCCACTGATTGGTGATCCGACAATATTAGACAGTACCCGATTTTGTGTGGAAACAATATAAACCAATCAGAACGGACCATTGTGTATCTAACTCTGATCTTATTGGTCGACTTGGCACATCTGTAGGCCTAAATAAACTTGGCACCTCTGTGCTGCTCGCTCCAAATATCACGGACATTGGTGTTGGCCAACATTTCATCTACATGTGGACCCTGTCACCCTTGACACGTCGTAACATAAGTCCTTACTATTAAGTGGAGTTTCCGATTGCACAAAGTAGGCTACAACTTGGTTGTAGTAGTTATGGGAGCTTGCGGGCCGCTACATACAACAACAGTCTGTTGGACCAAATTATCACGAAACAAAGCCCCCCAGGCCGGGTATGAGAACTCCCAGGGTGCAACTTCATGTACAATCCAGGTACAACCTCCAAGTACAACCTCGAGGTACAATTTAAGAGGTATAGGCACCAGTGAAAGGGTTATCTCAGCAATTGAGATAAACAATGAAAGGAAATCGTTCTTTTTTTTAGTCCTAACAAGTTTCAAGTGTCGAAACTTAGCTTCACATCTCACGCTTAAGTTTTATGGCTAAAACACCATCACTAAACCCATTGAACTCGACATTATAGCCTCTTATGAAGGCACATGGACTTCAGTAGTGAGATTTTGCGCCACTGGCGGCCTTCCTCACCTCCCGATTCACTTCCTTTGTTCTGTGTACTGTTGGCGTCTATTTCGGCGAGACCAGATACACCAGGTTGTTGCTATTCTTGGCCAGCAAACTGTGGCGTCCCACGCCGCCCCCTTCGTCATAGGGAGTCTAGACTGGTCCTGACGCTACTTAGCAACTCAAGTACCTTGTACTATAACATGATTAATGTTAAGTGCCAAGTCTGTTTAAAAAGGCGTCATCTTGTGTTGTAATTCAAAATGACACTAAGGATAAGGGAGCATAGGAGCATATACTCTCCTGTTCATCTAAGAACAGGAGAGTATAAAGGCCATTTAAGAACAGGAGATCATGAGGGCATCTCATAATACGGAAGCATTAGGCTATCTAAGATTTGAACATGAGGGCCATCTAAGAATAGACCGTGAAGGCCATCTAAGAATAGAGCGGGAATGCTCTAAGTAGCGGGTAAGGCTTTCCCATCTAAGAATGGGAAAGTATGAGGGCCATTTAAGTATAGGAAAGTAATGGGGCATCTAAGAACAGAAAATCATTTGGGTGGAGATTGATCGCTCTAACCTACAGAAGAGGAATCCGAATAATTTTTGTAGTTGTTCATGTAACCAGTATCAAGAGCAAAGACAAATCGTCTCCTTTCAGTCGACAATGAAATCCGCGTGTGTGTGTGTACTCACCTATTTGTGAGTGTTGCATCTGTTGCCAGATGGAATTCACAGAGCAAATACAGGAAATAGAGAAAATCCTTGATAACCTATCATACCCAGTATTCAATCAACCCAGTTTAGGGTGGAGAAAACAAATAATAACATTTTCGCAGGAAATTGCAAACATCAGGTCGGGAAACTACTGAAATTCTGTGACAAATTTTCGCTCAACCGGCAGATAACAGACCCAACTAAGAACGAAAATACTCTCGGCCGAAAGAACGAAAATAAATCTAAGAACGAAAATACTCTTCACTAACAATGATCAGGGACATTACAATCTCAGATTCATTTAAACAGATTCATTGAAAAGATAATTATTTTGAATTAACACTGTGGCAAGGAAATACTCTAAAAAAAGACTTCTAATAGGATATGTCGGTATGTAATGTGTAGATTGGCCCAATACATATCACGTTTCATAGAAAATATTAGGTCAGGAATACACAAATCGATGTTCCTAAGCAAGAGCAAAAAAATATAATTCAGAATAGATAGAATATGTTGTGAATACGACGTCTGATGATTCATGTGGAATGGCAATACCGATCATTTTTCCAATACCTTACCTTGTGGTGGTTCCGAGGATTAGCGTCCTCGGAACGTTAATCTTGAGTTAATGGTGTATTCTGAATTTTGGCTTAGTTATTGGTAGGATACTTGCCAGAAGAATGATGACGGTGGTAGTGTACTAATGTTTGTCTCTGCGCGGGCAGGAGAGCTGGCAGACCAACTCAACGACCTCACACTTGGGCTGGACAAGAAGGCGAAGGGCAGGAAGCTCCCGCCCAACTACCTCTGTCACCTCTGCTTCAAGAAGGGCCACCACATCAAGGAGTGCCCCCAGGTAATGTAACACACACGTGGCAATTGCCATGCAGATAAAAAACAGGTACATATTGTCGCCAGAAGAACGGCGACAGTGATGAAGGCGGGAGGTGCAGGAACGTGATCTGGTAACACCTGGTGCTTCTCTACTTAAAAGGTTTGGGAATCGAGTCGAGGGACGCGGGTTGCCTGGACTCGACGTGTGCATGTGTGTAATTACCTATGGGTAGTTACAGGATGAGAACGTGTGATACCTTCCCCCCCCCCCCTTCATCCTCCCACTAGCCTCATGTTAGTTAAAGTAAAGTAAAATTAAAGTTTCCCCACTAACACCATGTTAGTGAGGCACGAGCCGTATTATCTACGTTAAACGTCTTGATTACTTTAAAGCTTGAGAGCGTCCTTGTGTAATCCCAGCTGTGGAAGAGTAGCCCATCTTGCTGCCTCCTCTGCATCAGAAACCCCCCCTTCGAATCCCAAAAGGTTTTCTTAGCATTATCGTCCTGCAACAGAGACAGATCCCTATCGTAGTGGACACTCCTGCTCTCGGCTTATTGTCCCAGAATGTAATGGAGATTCCTACCTTAAATTATAAAATATCTGTACGAGTGGCCATGACTTGCTTCTCACATGCAATAGTAAAGTGATCAGCCTCTAACATTGCCTTAATTTCCAGCGAGTGTAAACTCGCTTCTTCCTAGCATGTGTCCCCGAAAGTATACCATGTCGCTGAAGATGTCCTCTCATTCCCCAGGCGCGTCCCAAGGGCGAGGGTTTGACCCCGTACCAGGGCAAGAAGAGATGTTTTGGAGAGTTCCGGTGCACAAAGTGTAAGAGAAAATGGATGAGCGGCAACTCTTGGGCGAACTGCGGGCAAGAATGCATCAAGTGTCGCATTAATGTCTACCCTCACAAGCAGGTCCGTGCCGCCTCCCTCTCCCCAGTGAGTTTTGTGCCCTTCTTCCCTGTACCCCTTCCACCCGGCAGGCAGTCATCAGTACAGAACAACTATTGTAACTGGGTAGTATAGAATCTTGATCAGGGATATACTCTAAGAGGTATACTCGCTTCAAAGTGTATTTACAATGAGATTATATTGGTATTTAAATCTCTTCAGGACTGAAGAATACTTTGCTAGCTTGATTATAGCCTATGGTAGGCTGCTTAATTAATAACTATTGCTGCAGATAATTGGCCTTAAGACCAAGTGGTTAGGACTTGTTACCATGATGCTTCAGTGTTGGGTAGTGTATAGGACCACGTGGTTGGTGCCATAGTGTCAGAAAGGAACCTGACACTGAATGGAAGCAGGAATAGGTGTCACTTTGGTAGGAAGAGCAAATTGTAATTAAATGGCAAAGAGTTACCATTGTGATATATAATTGTACATTTTAATATGAGGTAATAGAGATGTTGCCTTTTGAGGGTGGAAGGGAATGTTTTATTTTTTAGTAGACTGGCGTAGCTAAAGAGTATGGAAAAGTTTACCTTAGTGCTAAAAGGAAAGTATAGGGTAGTATACGGTACACCAATGAGGGGGGGGGGGATGACAAGGGGGTGAGACAGTAATCACCTAGTTGTGTTTACGGGGGTTGAGCTTTGGCTCTTTGGTCCCGCCTATCAACTGGAGATTGATGATCAACAGTGTTACTGGTCAGACCCTGGTGGGGGGGGAGGGGGGGTAACCGGGTTATTACATTACCTTAGTTTTAGCCGTCTAGGAGGGCAGGGTTGTGGGGGGTTGTTGATTCTGTTTATTAACATTTCTCCCCCACAGGTAACCAATCAGTGATTGCAAGCAAATCACAATGCAAACTAAATAGTATCCTTGACCTTGCTCTAAAAATATAACTATTATAGTAATAATAATAATAACAGTTATTAAATATAATTGTCAAATAATAATAACATTGTCAAATAATATTATTAATTGTAAAAATAACTGCATGGACTGTGATTGTTATTTGTTGTTATCTTGTAAACTGTGTTGTTTGTCTGACTCATCCTTTGACTTACTGGCTGTAATGTGTACTTATGTGTACTTGGCCATGACTTTGACATGGCTGTAATGTGTACTTATGTGTACTTGGCCATGACTTTGACATGGCTGTAATGTGTACCTGGGTGCCACCTGCGCGGGCGGCATCACACAAGAGAGAGAGACGGCCCGCGTCTCTAAGGCGCCTAAATCATACATTCCCTGTGTGTGTCATTTCACACTTGAGCATCACGTGTCATTTTATTGTCAAAATCATCAAAGCTTGATTAACTTAATTAGTTTTCTTGGTGGTTATTAGACTATTCAGTGACGTCATTCATCAGATAATATAGCGTTCATATTTCTTGATAAATATCATTTATTTGAAGTTGTTGTTATACATGTATATCGCATTTGTAAATATCTTTACAATGAACTACGTAAATTACCTCGTATTACGTATAAATTATGTACAAACTTTATAATTTATCTATTATCTTGTAATATCCATTATTGTTGACAAACAACATTCATCTTTTAATGTAGTGACCGCCAAGAGCTGTTCTTTATCAGCCATCTCGTATGTGCTTAGCGTAGATAGCCATTCATCACATGTATCTTCAACGCAGTCATAATTTATTTTGGTTAATATCTCGTATGTCAATTCTTGAGACTTGTGACACAGCTTCACATATACCAGATAAGCATGGTGTAACTGTCATCCCCGCGGTGCTGTTGACAGACGTCATTTAATCTGTCTTTCGGCTATGTTTCTCTAGAGATCCATTGGTGAGTGCTGGAGTGACGTGTTTGTCGTCCACAGCGACCCCTGGACAAGCCGGACGGACTCGATGTGTCGGACCAGTCCAAAGTGCACCCGCAGCACCTCTGCGAGAAGTGCAAGAGCCTTGGCTACTACTGCAGGAGGGTCAACTAGCCTCCCACGGCACCACCAGGAGGAAGAGGAACAGCAGCAGCGGCGGCACTCGTCTTCGCCCACTCACCCACTCATTCACTCATCTTGTGACGTTCTCCCTCACAACTTGGCAACTCCTCCGTGTGGATCAGATTACGCGCCCTGGTCAAGACGCTCGAGCACTGCCGCCGCCATCACAAACTACCGCTCTGCTTCACCCCACATGGCAGCGGGCAAAAGAGAATACACTAGCTTTAGTAACTTGTTGTTTGGGCGGGGCACGTCCGAGGGTTGTGGAGGGGAGTGGAGGGGTGACAGTAGGAGGGGAGTGGAAGGGTAAGAGGACGGGGGAGCAATATAAAAGTTGTTATAGTTGTCATAAACGCTCAGAGCGTTTTCTGTGGACCCACCTTGCCTCTACCTTATCCTTATCTTCACTTTTCCTCACCTCTTCACCACCCAGTCTCCCATTTACCACCTCACCCCGTCCACCCCCTGCCTCTTCCCTCACCCCTGTCAGGGTACCACAGTACAAGACCTCTGCCACAATGTGTAGCTCTCTAAACTATTTTTTTTCACTCATTTTCATTGTTGATACATGGCGTCCAGAAGCCTCATGTTGGCAGCGTTCTGTGGTGCCCACAGTGTTCCTGTGGTGCTGTATATATACTTCACATCTATACATATACATATCTATACTGTATGTATACTTCACATCTATACTGTATGTATACTTCACATCTGTACTGTATGTATACCTTCAAATCTCTCACCTCCTCTAGTGTATGTATACTTCACATCTCTCACCTCCTATAGTGTATGTATACTTCACATCTCTCACCAATAGTGTATGTATACTTGACATCTCTCACCTAAACTGTATGTATACTTCAAATATCACACCTCCTAAACTGAATGTATAATACTCGTGAGTTCATTTTTGTCTCTGCATAATGTATGCCAATGATAGCGAGGTATGATAACTCGGGTATGATATATGAGCTTGTATGTTAATTTACAAAGCGGCCGTTTTGTGTATAACTATATATTCGTTGTGTATTAAGTTAGGTCTATGCTGGTAGGTAGAGTGAAATACAGAATATGTATTTTCAGGTTTGAATTGTATTGTTCTAGTATGTTTTGAGTGTATTGTTGTTCATTTTCTTGAAGTAGTTGTGTGTGTATATATGTATGTGTGTGTGTACTCACCTAGTTGTGCTTGCGAGGGTTGAGTTTGGCTCTGTGGTCCCACCTCGGTGTGTGTGTGTGTGTGTGTGTGTGTGTGTGTGTGTGTGTGTGTGTGTGTGTGTGTGTGTGTGTGTGTGTGTGTGTGTGTGTGTGTATATGTGTATGTGCGTGTGTGTGTGTTCTGTACCTCGCCGATCTGGTGTCGGCTTCGCTGAAGACTGGTGCTATTATCTATTAAGGACAAGAGAGGGTGTCTTCCTGGGTGACGTTGAGGCGCTAGGCTACTGAAACAGTGACTCTCCACGAGCGTCGCTGCCATTCAACAAAATATTAATTAACAGATGTCGGCAATGTTATATGACAGTGTATTAGTCTGCATATGTAAGTTGTAATATCAAGCGTCGTATTTCACAGACTAAGAGATTACTGGCTGCCGATGACGCATATTCAGTTTTAACAGCCTCAACTCATAGTACAGTAAGCATTCCTCGGTTGTAATTTTGTAAATGCTATATACGAAATATTTTGCTCTCACCTTTTCAAACTTCCTCATTTTACGTGATAAGCTTACTGGTTGCTATGATATTTTCACCAATGACAGGACATGTAATGGTAAAACAAAATACTTTCTCGGTATTGTCAGATCTTCTTTTAGCAAGAATTATTTAGACGAGATTTTGGAACACGGCCAGTTAGTGAGCTGCGATGTTAGCGGATCTAGACCTTCAAGGCTTCATAGAAACTGCCGGGTGACTTAACTGGAGCATTATCTAAGAACACCGAGGCCCTAGAGATGGTCGGAAGCGTACTTGGTCTACAGCACTTTTAAGTACTTTTAACAATTATGCAAAAAGATCATTTGAACCATTAGTTTGTATCGCGAGCTGCACAATGATTTTATACTTGCCTTATAATATGATGACGCGATATCAACAACCAAATTAGCGATTTTTAATATATACGGATAAATGGCGACATTTCTTGTTAAAGGCGTTTCTCGGACCCTGTCACCTGTACGATCAACTCCACACCTCAGTCACAAGTGGTTTGTTGGTGTGTTGAATAATCACAGCATTTCTCACACTTCCCCAGATATTGCATCTCATTTTTGCATCATGAAGCACGGGCCAGCCAATGAAAATAATCTGCGTAGGCTTTCAATCCTTTCGAGACTGAATTCAACTTTCGAGACTGAGACTTTCGAGAATTCGACTCCCAGACTCATTAAACAGTACTTCCAACTGGTGCCCGCCTCTTGCTCAACTCTTATAAGCGAATGCCGAATACTTCTGCTTAAAATGTCAGAATCCCTAATGTTTCTTGCACGTATGCGAGTCTTATTTTGCACCTGAGCACATATTGTTAAATAATTATACCAAGTCATAAGGAAATAAAACAATTTGTTAAATAGAGTTGATTTATGCTGGCGGCAGCTCTTGTGCCAATGTTTTGTTTGGTGGTGACGTCATCAAGCTCATCTTCAAGACCACAATCTGCGCTTTACTTCAAGTGGAAGTCCACCACCCTGTGTTTACCAGTGGTGTACCACCTTGTGTTTACCAGTGGTGTACCACCTTGTGTTTACCAGTGGTGTACCACCCTGTGTTTACCAGTGGTGTACCACCCTGTGTTTACCAGTGGTGTACCACCGTGTGTTTACCAGTGGTGTACCACCCTGTGTTTACCAGTGGTGTACCACCCTGTGTTTACCAGTGGTGTACCACCTTGTGTTTACCAGTGGTGTACCACCCTGTGTTTACCAGTGGTGTACCACCCTGTGTTTACCAGTGGTGTACCACCTTGTGTTTACCAGTGGTGTACCACCCTGTGTTTACCAGTGGTGTACCACCCTGTGTTTACCAGTGGTGTACCACCTTGTGTTTACCAGTGGTGTACCACCCTGTGTTTACCAGTGGTCCATCACCCTGTGTTTACCAGTGGTCCATCACCCTGTGTTTACCAGTGGTGTACCACCTTGTGTTTACCAGTGGTCCATCACCCTGTGTTTACCAGTGGTCCATCACCCTGTGTTTACCAGTGGTCCATCACCCTGTGTTTACCAGTGGTCCATCACCCTGTGTTTACCAGTGGTCCATCACCCTGTGTTTACCAGTGGTCCATCACCCTGTGTTTACCAGTGGTCCATCACCCTGTGTTTACCAGTGGTCCATCACCCTGTGTTTACCAGTGGTCCATCACCCTGTGTTTACCAGTGGTCCATCACCCTGTGTTTACCAGTGGTCCACCACCCTGTGTTTACCAGTGGTCCACCACCCTGTGTTTACCAGTGGTCCACCACCCTGTGTTTACCAGTGGTCCACCACCCTGTGTTTACCAGTGGTCCACCACCCTGTGTTTACCAGTGGTCCATCACCCTGTGTTTACCAGTGGTCCACCACCCTGTGTTTACCAGTGGTCCACCACCCTGTGTTTACCAGTGGTCCACCACCCTGTGTTTACCAGTGGTCCACCACCCTGTGTTTACCAGTGGTGTACCAATTTGTTGATAACCTAGACCAGTAAAGAAAAGTGTTCACCATTTTCCTATCAAATACTTGCATAATGAGAATAACCCAGATGGCTGACGCACTGGTCTAGCGGGTGTCACGCACTGGTCTAGTGTGACGCACTGGTCTAGCGGGTGTCACGCACTGGTCTAGCGGGTGTCACGCACTGGTCTAGCGGGTGTGACGCACTGGTCTAGCGGGTGTGAATTATCATGTTTGGTCCTTGGAGTGCGTCATGTCCATAGTATTCCCCCTAGAAACCAGTAGCTTATTATTCTTTGGGCAGCAACTATCACTAAGGCGAAGACATATTTCCCCCCAACGCGCAGACTGAGGGGAGTGGAGGTGGGTGAGTAAGGGGCTGAGCTGTGGCTGCCAGGGGTACAGGCTAAAATTAACTTCGTTTGCCTCTCCGTGGCCAAATTTCCTCCGTCTCTTTCCCGGCAGTCGCGCCTCGAGAAGGCTGACAATAGACCCATACATAATGTCGCATCCACTTAGCTTATGTATACAGTAACTGGAAATAAATGTACAGGATGTTTGTCACGTCTGAGGCTGTCGAGATGCCTAGTGCCAAGGGCAACTTATCAAAACACACATGCACGCACTCTCACTCATTCAATAATATCACAGATGTATATGTTACACAGCTGGATCAGTGTAACTGCTGATGTGGGGGTTTACTGCATGTATTGAGGCAGTGGTTTGTGGCTGTCTTTATTAATTCCTAAACAGCCCAAAAAATCAACCAAATCTTGTCCTATCGCCGACACAAACCTAATTCCCCCACAAATTAGGAGAAAGCACTAAACCATTACGAATATACAGACGAGGAGTCACAATAACGTGACTGAAAAATGTTGACCAAACCACACACACACTTGAAAGTGAAGAGACGACGACGTTTCGGTCCGTCCGGACCGAAACGATGTCGTCTCTTCATTTTCTAGTGTGTGGTTTGGTCAATATTACAAATATATATATAGTACTTTTGCCCGAAACGCATTGCGTAATAGTGGCTTTAGGCATTGTATGTACTAGCTCTATCTATATATCAATCCATTAATGTAACATCACTTGTATGTATATACCTTACCTGAATAAACATCTGAATCTGAATCTGAATCTGAACTTGTGTACAAGGGCAAGTGTACTGTAATATGCAGAATATGCAAAGCGGCCTTACATGGCGGGCAGTGTTCGGGGATCCTTGTAAAGGCGCCAAAAATCCTGCTGGTAGGTTGGGACAGCCCCTTTGTTGAGGGCGACGTCGGCACCGGAGGCAAGGGCGACGCCGGCTACTGGGGTGAGGGTGACGTCTATTTCGGGGGTGAAGCTGGCGCGAGCCTAAAGGGGGGGATGGGGGAGGTCGACGCCTGCCCCAGAGGCGAGGTCGACGCCTGCCCCGGCTAAGAAGTTTGCAGCAGCCCGGGAGGAAAGGGGTAGGGATGGCATGGCCCCCAGGGGTAAGGGGTGGCCTCCGGTGTCTTTGCCCACGCACTCGCACTCCGTTATATAAACACCAAACCCCCAAGATCTTTGCACTAAACAAACTATTCTCCCATTAACATAGACGAGACATCCTACTTGACGTGTCGCTGAGCATATGAGTCTGACTGAGCGGGGAAGTTTGTTTCACCCATTACAACCTCCAGACTTGTTGCCAAATATCCAAATAAGGCATTACAAAAAACCTGTTTGGTGTGGTAGGTGAAGATGACCACGTGTCCCTCCCCGTAAACACCCACCATTAATCATAATTGTGTCTTGTTGTTGTTGTTAACTGTGTTTAGCATTAAGGTGACGTCATGCTTGAAGCCTGCGAGTACTATAGTGATGTGTGACAGGCTGGAGACGGGGGAGGAAGTGCCTCATCACTCTGTGTAGGGACTCTAGCATTCACTTGATAGGTTGTCATAATATGATGTTGCAGAGCAATATCGGTTAAAGTTTTTCTTCCACAACATGTATGTCTTGGGTGTTTGTATTTGCAAGGTGTGAAGACATGATATACCACACACGCTTGCACCATCACCTTGTCTTTGTTCATTAATATACTGGTAATACTCAATGTTTTCCATAACGTAGCTTTCCTGTTGTATTAACAACGTATAGTTTCCGTGTCCATTTAGCTGTAAGTTGAACTGAGTATCACCTCGTAGTGGTATTCACCTCGCTATGTGCCTTATTATTATTATGTATTATTTTGTAACCTTGGCTTGTACTTAATATATATATTGTACTGCAGTCTTTGATCAAGACAGGATGGTGTAAAAACTTGATATACTTTGATATAGGTCATGGCATAACTATTTTTTATATAGATACCATATTATAGTTTAGATATTTTGTGGACACTATATATAATGCAAGGCAGCTTATCCTATCTTGATAAGAGATTAATAGTAAACTTGAATAGCATTTTGGTGTATGAACTTCCAATTTTCTTAATAGAGAAGAGGACGGAAATAGCTTGCTCTGTCATGTAAGGCAGCGTCCCGTGTTGTGTCATACATTACATAACTGGCAACTATTTCAACTAGGCATTTCTGGTGCTGAAGTTGAATGTAGCAACTTAATTTGTAACAAATTTAAATGATGTTTCCATTTTAGCCTCCACATAGACTTGGCAAGATTGCCAACATCCTCCGTCCTCGACTTAAACTTTACACTTAAGTCATGAACACAGTTATTTAAGGTTCTCTTTGCCCAAATGACTGATAGTTTAGTTTTACGTATTTAGATTGGCCACTTGAATTCCATTTGTATTATGACCCTGATCATCCCTCACTACGATGCAGGCTGTTCCAACTCTCATTGTTCGTGTTCACATTATCACCTCACAATCTGAATTTCGATGGCTGCGAAAATAATTAAAAGATCAAAAAATCAATCTAATTGAATTAGTGTTATAGCCTCATTTATAATTGTTATACATTGTTATTGTATAGTTTTATGACAACTGTAAATAACGGAGGTACTGCACTAAATATAATCAGTGACGACTATAGCACCAGACTTTCCCACGGTGCTTCATGATATGAGGGCTCTGACAGCGTCCAGGGTGAGGGATGAATGTGGATCACTACACTGACTTGTTGTAAGCACAAGAAGGGCCAGCTGGCCCTCCAGGTGGCGCCCCACCATCTGGGCCCACGTTGACGCCACCTGATCATGGCTGAATGTCGCCCACAGGCTCATGTAAACACCTCTTGTATTACATGAAGTTGTATTCGTGTTGCTGCTGCTAGATCAGAGCTCCTTGACTGTGACCAATGATGTCATCATACTCGGAGAGGTTGTCAAAGGTCATTTTTTTGTGATACTTAATATTTGTGTATTTTGGAAACTCTATATTGATGTTATGTGGCGAATGTAGTTGTATACTAATATAATGGTGTAGAGAGTCGGAAATGACAAGCCACTTCTTGGGACTTGTGCCAGTTATGGTAGGATATGACATGTTTGAATCATGTGCATCCTACCTGTTGTATATTTAAGACATGTTTATTAAGATATCCAGACAGGATCCTATATATCCTGGTCCAAGTACTCGTTAAACACTTAGGTTAAATGGCGTAATTCATGGCCCGTGTGGTTGGGAGGTGCGCTCTTGTTGCCTTCGAGGGGGGCCGAGCGCCCCCTCGGCCCAGGCGCTTCTTGTGTTTATAGGAGATATGTCCTGGTGTTATATCCCCTGTGACTGGTGGGCCCAGTATGGGCACATACCCAGGCCGGGTATGTGCCCGTTGTGGCACATACCCTGGCAGAGTGGTGTTAGTTCATCGCCCCCGAACCTTATCCTCGCTTCCTTCCTACGGAGTCGTGTTAGAACAGCACCCAAAGCCTATTCTAGCTAGCTACCTCCCGGGAAGGATCGTGTAAGGACGTCACCTTAAGACCTGACCTAGGAACGTGCCAGTCACAGGACAAGGTAAACAGCATTCCAATATCTGGTGTGTACTGCGTACCTCTTGGCGGGGCCAGGGAGCGCAGGGGTAGTATTCTTGGATCTCACTTACTCCAGCAGTCTCAAAGTCGCGCCCACAACAACCTAGTGGCACCTAGGTAATAATACCGGTGGTGACAAAGTGGCTGTAATGCTGACTGAAGTCAAGTTTGTTCATGAGTGCTGCTCAAGTTTATACTAGTATGGTCCTCGTGATTTAATGTTCGACTTTTCGCCATGGTGTAAAATATATGTTTCGTTTTTGCCCTTTAATTTACTTTGGTTTTATAAAGAAGTAAATGCATGGTTTCTGCTTCACGAGGACCAGGCCTCAATAGCATATTATAAAGTATACCGGACTACACTTACCATTCTCAGCAACACCTGCACTCACACTCCCCAAGTGTAGTGAGCCGGTCACAACACTTCCCTCCTCCCCTCTTGGAATGTTGTGAGCTCTCCACTCAACACACCTTTGCCCAGTATTTACCACGTAGACAAACACGCTGTTGGCACATTTAAATATGCAGCACTTGAAATAACCCCTTTCACAGACTTCAAAGGTTAAATAAGACAGTGTTGAGCACTCACAATATTTCGATACTCGTCTGGGTGTGGCTGGAGAATGGTCAGTGAGAATAAATGAGAGCAACAAGTCAGAGCAGAAGTTGCATTACTAGAGTGGCAATGTGTGTTTGTGCAATATTATGGGGCCGGGGAGTCTTTACCTGTGGCAGTAGAACCAGTCTAATCCTTGTCCCTTCCTAGGGCTCTGTGGTCTCCTGCTTCACAACACCAACTGTTTCTAATTTAAAATTTTAATCATGTCATTTCATTTGCCTAAAGACTAGATATCTGTAATTACTTTGAAGCAATTAGGTCATTGTATTTTGAGTATTGAACATGTCTTTCCTCTTGAGTTGCACTTCCTCGCTTTGTCTCTTTTAATATGCAATTATCGTCTTAAGCTCCTTCGGCAAAACTCGAGGAAGTGTTACTTCTGAAGGCATTATTGGAAGAACAGGAGTACCAAGAACTGTGATTGGCTAAAACAGAGTTTGCTTATGTATGTGCGAGCCAATCACAGCTCACAGTGAGCCAATCATCAGACCAACCTTTAGTTTCCCAACAAAGCCTCTGTCACAAATATAGCTGGAGAGATGATATGTAAATTTTGGTAATGTTTTTTCAGAAAGAAGATATATTCTGCCCTGTTTATTTATTGGGCGAAGTGAAATATAAGTATAAATTGTCCAGAGGCTATATGAAATATATGTTTTCAGCCCCGGCATTACATATTGACAATGCATTAATTTGTTTGCTAGTGACCAAGGAGTAGGCGCCGGAGAGGATATATCTCTCAAGCGAAATTCTGAGTCAAACTTATTGAAAGTACACCACTAAACTTTTTTATTATAACACTATTGCAACTAAAAAAATTAATCAGTTGAGCATCAAGGTTTCTTTAGTTTTGGCTCCGGATTCCCGCTTTTAAGGTCGTTCATGTATTATGTATGCGTCAGTGTTCGCGTAGCCGCAGACGCATACAGTGACTGTAACTCCGTAATGCTGTACTTAATAGACGGGCCTTGTGTGTGCTTTATGTTAAATAAACTAATGAAAAGTATCCACTGGTTTACCTTCATCCTAGATGGTGAATACATATTTATAAGCCACTACATCACAGAGCGAGTGAGTATAAGGGCGCTCACAGGTGGAGTGGTGGGTATTAGGTGCTTACTACACCTCGCTGAGTGGGTATAAGGCCTCTCCAAATTGCACCCCCCTCTCCCTTGAAGTTTATATAAGGGCGCTGACTCCTACACTGTAATGGGTATGACGGTACTCAACCAGGATACCATATGGTGAGTGGGTATAAAGGCGTTCGCCACTGCGCCCAGAGAGGGGGTTGGGTATCAGGGCGCTCACCATTGCACTAAAGAGCCAATGGGTATAAGGACAGTCACCACCACCACTCTACAGGCCAAGTAGGAAACACATGAGAGCAGTGAAGGGAGAAGAAATAGGACATCCAGGTTCGATTGCCTGCCCCTCCTACTCCATCATCACAACTGCGAGAGGCCGAGATACGCCAAAAGCAAACACCTGTGGAGATTCCACCACAGGGCGAGTGGGTATAAGGGATTCCACCACAGGGCGAGTGGGTATAAGGGTGCTTGCTCATCACAGGGCAAATGGGTATAAGGGCTGTCACCACTACGCCACTGGAATAGGTATAAGGGCACTCACTGTTACACCATAGGAATGGGTATAAGGGCGCTCACTACTACACCACGGGATGGGGGGTATAAGGGCACTTACCAGTACACCACAGGGCTTGTGCATGTATAAGGGCGCTCACCCCAACAAAGCAAATTAAGATAATAATACTTCTTTGCGTTTCTTCTATTTATTTGCACTTCCAGCTATATCATCTTGTCCTACTAGCCTTGTCTATCCCCTCATGCTCATGTAAGTTGTGATCTAACTATAACGAAATATTTGATAAGCCATGACCCCTCAGTTACCATGACAACCGTGGGCGACCTCACCCAAACAAATCATTCCCACTGGCTGACGTGTTTTGTTTATGACTGAGACATACACTCTTACCACGCAACTAGCAATAAAGACACACTATCTCATAACACGGAAGAATAATGCTATGCGTTTTAAGACAGCCAACCGATACATGCAGGCCCGGCATGATGCTGGAAATAAGGGTATGGTGGAGTACGAGATGCTGGGTGAGGGGAGCCGGCAGCATGGGCCGGAGAGGGTGACCACGACGCCGTCGGGACGTCGACGTAGCCTCGTCCAGTGTGAGTAAACTATCACCAATTTCTCACATTCCATCGTTCATAATTATTTTTTTTTTATTTTGTCAGTTAGTATGTTTTTGTTAGTTGTTATTAGAAGTCGTGCGAGGATGTGGTGCTGCTTAACAAGCACAGTGCTTGTTCTTGTTTCTGGAATAAAGATTGTTAACAGCTCAAGGAAAGTTAGATTAATGTCCTTGTAAATCTTTAACATCATTAATTTTTAAATATCTCATAATATGTATAATAAGATATTATTGATCAAATAAAAAAATGACATACGACAATTAGATATTAATGTTATATATGAATAATACATGGATGTCTGTCACTCAAGTTTCAGGAAGGTTTGAGGGTGATCAGTATATTGACCTTTTAGTATTGATCATCTCACCCAGGTTGTATGGTCCATCACATATGCAATGACAAATACCGATAAGAGAATGTGCACTGCTAAAGTGTTACATTTATGCTGTAAAGTCAAAGGTTCTGATTGATCGCAACTCTTAAACTCGCATTCCTAAGCCTCTATATCATGCTGTGGGTAACACCTGTCAGTGTCTCCTATGTATCATGCTGTGGGTAACACCTGTCAGTGTCTCCTATGTATCATGCTGTGGGTAACACCTGTCAGTGTCTCATATATATCATGCTGTGGGCAACACTGTCAGTGTCACCTATATATCATGCTGTGGGCAATACTGTCAGTGTCTCCTATATATATCATGCTGTGGGTAACACCTGTCAGTGTCTCCTATATATATCATGCTGTGGGTAACACCTGTCAGTGTCTCCTATATATATCATGCTGTGGGTAACACTGTCAGTGTCTCCTATATATCATGCTGTGGGCAATACTGTCAGTGTCTCCTATATATCATGCTGAGGGTAACACCTGTCAGTGTCTCCTATATATCATGCTGTGGGCAATACTGTCAGTGTCTCCTATATATCATGCTGTGGGCAATACTGTCAGTGTCTCCTATATATCAAGCTGTGGGCAATACTGTCAGTGTCTCCTATATATCATGCTGTGGGTAACACTGTCAGTGTCTCCTATATATCATGCTGTGGGTAGCACCTGTCAGTGTCACCCACAAAATAACAAGAAATTAGATAAACTGTAACCCCCCCCCCCCAGTTTAGATTTGACAAAGCCATTACATTTGAGATGTTATCAACAAATAAAGGCATCTTCAAGATTATAAATGTTGGTGTTTTGCTACATTGAAGTTATAATGTTTGACTTGCTTCTTGCAGATGGGCTTTGGTGGGGACTTGGTTGCCTTGTGGGAAGTCCCACTCAGTGATGGCATACACAAAGTGGGATTTGAACATGGCACTACAACTGGTCGCAGGGTCTTGTGGGTTGATGGAGAGGTAAGTTACAGGGAAATAATTTTTGTCTTACTTTTTTATTGATATATACAAGAGTTCTTACATTCTTGTACAGCCACTAGCACGCGTAGCGTTTCGGGCAGGTCCTTAATCCTGTGTTCGGAATACGACCCCGCCAGATTGTTTAACAACCAGGTATCCATTTTACTGTTGGGTAAACAGTGGCTACAGTTAAGGATTGATGCCCAGTAAATCCTCCCCAGGATATTACTTCATCCTAGATATAAATATATATGCAGCATGCAGAAAAATGTAATAAAATTAAATATTGAATACATAAATCTAGGTATTCTGATGTAAAAGACAATATTGTATTGTACATCACTTTATTCTGTGTGTGTGCATGTGCTTTTGTTGAAGAAAGACAGTGAAGATATATAGAACAAGAAAGGGTAAATAGGAGAAGAGAAAGAAAGTGGAAAGGAAACAAAAACTGTAGAGGGAAAGAAATAGAGAGAAAAAAAGTGGTGAATACAGAGAAAGGAGAGATTAAAATTAATTAAGCTTTGAATATATTGTATTGGAAAGAACCTTTCGGAGCATGGGACTGTGTTGCTCTTTATTATAAATTCCTACAGATCTCTTATGCAGGATCTGGAATAGTCAGGGCAGGTTACACTTTGCACCTGACCAATGGTTATTTTTTTCAGTCGACTCTGCGGGATTATACAGGTGCCTTCCAAATGTTGTTTGACATCATGAGGACTGTCAAATAACACTAAATAACTATCCAATAGCCTGCTTGCTGCTGCCTCCAACCACCCTTAGGTGGCAGCACCTGTATATCAACAAAAAGACAGAATATAATAGATACAAGAAATATTTTACACAAGACAGATAGCACCCAGATATTTCTACCGATTTGCATACACAATTTGTATGTTTCAAATAAAATTGTATATGATTGGTCAATATTTAATCTACAATATAATGCTTAACAGTTTAATTTTTGTACTTAACAAAAATATAATTATTGGTCGAAGTTTAGTGATGTCCTATACATAATCTGGGTTTATTTGCACGTTTATGCAAACCTAACACATTGTTATCTCCACAAACATGATGGAACGTGCACAGCACTGGACCACATGGTTGTTTTGTGGGGTAAACTCTTTATTATAGTTATTATATTAGACTGTAGTTAGATTTATATACTACTGTATAATATAATGCATTAGTAGTAAACACAGAATATATAATATTAGTTAACAAAATGAAATGTTATAATTTACGTTACACAGTACTGTACTAATAACAGATTACAAATATGAATGAACACTGTTTTACTTGGAAAGACATTTACTGTACTTTAAAAATGGAATCCTTCTCCTTAGGTGATTAATGACATCTGTACAAGTACTGTATATACAGTATACATATGATTATTATAATAATTTGTTTTGCTGGGAACAGGAAGGCTGTGTATACTTAAGGTTGAACTACTGACCTTTTCTCAGGATGTAACTCACAATAGTTACCTAACTCCTGGGTACTTAATTTATTTCTTGGTGAACAGGCCCATTAGGTGAAAGGAAACATACCCAACCATTTGTCCTACCTGGGAATCAAACCCCAGATCCCCAGTTGTGGCTCAAGAATGAAGCCAACTTTATAGGGTCTCTTTGTTCTTGACGGTAGTACAGTATATGCAATACTATTACAGTACATACTGTATACTGTACTAGTATCGATATGTAATACAGTGGTGCCTTGATTAACAAATTTAATCCGTTCCGGCACCGAGCTCATATTATGAAAAGCTTGTCTTGCGAAACAAATTTCCCCATTTAAAATAATGGAAATAAAATTAATTCGTTCAACCCCTGAAAAACATCAATATGGCATTTTATAATGTAATTATAATACATGTAATTATTATAAATGTTGTGTTTTACTGTTTTCAATTGAACTTAAACATACAATTGAATTTGTTCGAGAATTTGTGAGAACCGTACTGCGTAGTTTGCAATTGTCAATTGAGACAAATTGTCCACGAGTGACTCGCTCGTTACCTGAAATGTTCGTACAATAGATGGAGAAGCTCGTCACTCGAGGTTCCTCTGTTTTAAACTATGTAACTTGCATTGCAATGCATTTATTTTAAGTTCTGATCCTGAGCCCACTGTGTATCACAACTAATGTTCCCACTGTCACTTTGAGGATGGGTATAAGGTGCATAATGAATGAACAAAACTAAACAACCAAGCCATAAAGACTATATAGCACTTGGAAGGGATCAGGATAAGGATTTGGGATGGGACAGGGAGGGAAGGGGATGATGCCCAAGCACTTGAACGGTCGGGGATTGAACGCTGACCTTCATTAAGCGAGGCCGTTGCTCTACTGTCCAGCCGAAGTTGTTGGGCAATTCAGGTGGGAACCTAACATAGTTTTCTCATTTAGATGCTTTGAGTATTGAAAGTTGTGCACTAATTCTGGAAAAGTATAAAGGTTGGTTTTATTTTTCAGGAGAAGGTACACCATGACTGGATGTTTAAATTGGTTGGATCAGAAATTTTTGAAATAGGCAATACAAAATGTGTCATCAAAATTGAGCCTATTGGGGGCTTTTCCTATGAATATTCTCTTGAGGTAAGTTACAGTACTTATTGGTTAGCATCAGACTATGAGCAAATGTGTAAGGAGATTGATGAGTCCTTCTGATAATAAGACTACAGTATTTTGAGATATGGCTGGGAGTCATGTAGGCTGCTCCTTTAATTATGACTTGAGCTTTTTCTGTTAAGATGAAATACAGAATATTATTTGGAAGCACCTTATACCTATATAGACAATTTATGACCTGTATTGTCCAAGTAAACTACAGTATAACAAATATCATTCTGCAAGCGTTTCATCAGTGGTTTCAAGCAAGGGTTTGATTTAGTGAAAGTAATGAGCAGTATGAGAGATGCGTGGATCTTTTTGTCAAAAATGAATACTTAATGGAATTATTGATTTTCAACATATTTTACAAACATGCCACTGGTAACCTCCGCTCTCTCTTCAGCTATTTTTCTAGAGAATTGGAGATCACTCTCTTCAATACATCCGATCTCATCTCAATCTCAGCAACAGATACTAACAGTGCGTTTTCATAGGCAACATAACTACTCCAACACTACCAATAAGCAGATACATTTACCATTTCTCATTGCTGTATATTTGATTCTCTCGTTTTCACACATGGTACATTAATGACCAAACAAGTCTCCCCCATCACCTTGGGTAATTCTATTTTCAAATAACATTTATCTTCTCAAGTACAGACTGAATAATGTAAATACTCAACTCCACCCTAATAAACTTACCTCTAACATTGACAAAACATATATTGTTTGTAAATAAATCTACCAACATAATAGATCTAAGAATAGACTACTGTGCATCTAAAAAACTTTGGGTTTTTACTTGGCAGGTAAATGGTAAGAGCTACAAGAAGTTTACTGAAAATCAGAGTAAAATACTCAAGACGTGGCTTTTCTACTAGATGGCTCATATACACGAGTGGTGCTCGAGAAGGATACTCTAGATGTTTGGGTTAATGGGAAGAAGTTAGATACTCTTGTAAGTATCAATTTTAAAACTGATATTTGTTTTTATTGCAAGGAATAAGGTATATATGATGCAATAATATTAATTGCTACATTGTAAATAAATTGTGGTCTGTTAGTTACATGAATTACATTTTATATGCTCTACATTATTTTATTTTTTATTGACAGCTGCAGTATATTGAAGTAAATTTTAATTGATTAAAAAAATACCTATGTATGTGGTATGTTTTTACATACCACATACATTTCCTTCTTCACACATGTTATTTGTTTCCATAAAGCATATTTGGAAGTTTTATCTCGTTTTGTCTTTCCATCACATTCCTATTTTTTAAAGGGAGAATTCGTGGATGATGGCACAGAGACGCACTTTGACCTTGGTGGTCATCCCTCCTATATCAAGGCAATGAGTAGTGGAAACCGCAGAGAAGGCATCATCCACTGTCTTGTTGTTGACAACACAGAAATTGCAGAATCACTTGAGTGATGAAATATGTGTACAGTATAGTATATTAAGAGAGTGTTGTTAAAAAATGGCTTTTGTGGAGACATTAACATGTCTTTAGGGATAACTTGCCATACTGGCTTATTTTTCTCTAGTCTTTTGTGTAAATCTTCTAGTCAAAAGACTACGTCTCATGTAATAGCTAGCTATTAAAGTAGCAGGAGCAAATGCATTCTAGTTTGCCATAGCAATACAGTACTCTACTACAGTAGTTAAACAAAATAAAATTACATGTGACCATTGTACTCTCTAAATAGGAATTTATTATGTCCTAAGTTTAAAGCAAGTAAACCACATGAAGTGGTTTTGGGGAAGAATTTACACGTTTCCATAATTTATTCAAGATATGCATGTCTTGTAGAGTTTAGCGTATAGTAAACCATCAAGAAAGTTGGCCATCAAGAAATCCTTGAAGTGTGGGAAATATATTTGAATAACAAAACTCATTAAGACATGAATATTAAGTACTTAATACATACTGTATATAGTGTTACTGTAGGCAATGGCTCCTGTACTATAATTATATCTGTGATGTTAATGCATTGGGTTGTGTTAGTTATTAGTTCAACAGTACACATTAGTGGAGTGATTTGTGCGTCGGGCTGGCAATCTAGAGGTCGTGCATGAACCTTGTATGATGAAATGTTAGTGTACCATTGTGCTTTAGACAGTGTTCATAGTTTAACTGTATTCCTTGTAGTTCATAAACATCCAATCAAAATGCAGCAAAACAAATCATAGGCTAGAAGAACAAGCAGATACTGTATAGTTATTAATGATGTCATTACTACATACCAGATTTGAATAGATACAAGAGATGCATGAATCAAACCTAGATTACAGCAATGCCAAAGAATTTTAAATTACTGTATGCACATTATAATGTGTACAAACCACAAAATACATTTTTAAATTTTATATTTTTGGTAAATATTTGAAACCTGAAAATGTGAATTCATATAAATATTTTTTTAAGAGGCATCCACAAACATTTTTTTGAAGTGAATGGCTTAAAATCATTAGAGAAGCCATGTAGAGTACCTGCATGGTACTCTTAAGCGCTCATTTAAAAAAAAATGATTAAAACAGGATGAAGCTAAATTCTAAGTAAAATATTTTAATTTCAGATTTCTTCAAAGTAGATTAATTGCACATGTCTATCCAAAAGTAAATGTACCATAGAACATGATGTAAATAAGAAAATTCTTAGATTAAGTAGAGTACCAGGTATTTGTTTTTTACACACCCTTTCAAAAATAGAAACTATAATTTTGTCATATACATTTTTAATTTAAACTCTTAGTAGTTTACTAAAAAACACAAAGTTCCAGTCATGATGACAATATTCTAAGATATTACTAAGATCTGATTTCTTGTGCATCACCTTAGTATTGGCTGGCCAGACTAAGACACTTAGGTAATATCACCACAGCTTTATACATGAGCAAAATACCACACTAGATTTTTTAAAAATTAGCATTTCATTAGGGATTATTGTAATGCAAAAAGGTATGTCATTGGGCTTGAGCTCAGTGAAAATAGTTATGTTGGCAATGAATTAGGTTACACTTTCTGAACAACTCACAAATCTGAAAATGAAGAACCGATGATGTTTTGGCCCATCCTGGACCATTATCAAGTTGTGTAATGGAAAAGATGTGGTAGGGGCAAACAATTTAAGATAAGGGAGTGAGATGAAAGGTGAGATAAAGGTATTGTCAGTGAGGTGGGATAAAGGATAGGTGAGATAGGTGGGTTAGTGAGGTGAGGTGAGAGAGGTGAGATAAAGGATAAAATAATAAGAATAAAGGTAAGAATTTAGAAATGTAACGTAAGAAAGGTAGAATGTACAGTAGTAAAGATTAGAAGTAAGGTAAGGAAAAAAGCAGCAGTATAGGAATAATGTGTATATAGTAAAATGTTAGAAAAATAATCAAGAAAACTGTAGGAGGCCAAATGGAGAAGAAAAGGTAGTAAAATGAAGGAAAACAAGCCTAGAGGGGCAAAGCTAAGTCAGGTCAGGTTTGTTAAAAAAGTAAATGGTTAGAGCATTTAAGTACTGTATGTTCTGTACTGTGATAGGTTAGAATAGCTGCAACAAAGCCTGGCCTAAGGTTCATGTTAGGTATGTTGTGTATCAAAGCTGATTCAACAAGATAGCATCTGTGAAGCATAGCAGCAGGAAAGCTTATTTAAAAAAAAAAAAAGGATGATTAGAGTTCCTATCATAATAGAAGAGAGCATTGCTTGTGTCAGCAGATTTAACACTTCTTTTGTGTTTTTTAGTCTCTCATTTAGTGTACAGCCAGTTTTACCAAAGTATTGGAGAGGACAAGACGAACAGGAAATGATTAAGCACTTGCGAGTTGGAAGCAGGAGCAGCAGTGTGAACCAGATCACCAAGGTGTGCAAGTTTCTCAAAAGGCAAGTCTTATATCAAGAGGACAAAGGATATTAGGTTTTTGAGATTTGATATGAAGGGAAGGCACAGCACAGTGTTGGATACTGGTTTAAGATAAAAGAAATTTCTTTTAGCTTACCCTCGTCTCATCCTCTTGCCTTAATTGTGTGTCTACAATTCATTTTTTTTTATTACTGTACATAATGATGGTCCAGGACAGACCGAAATGTCGTTGCTTCTTCATTTTCAGAGTTATTGGTTGGGTGTCAACACTTCCGGCATGTTATTGTGACTCAACATCTTTCTGAACACCATAATACTTCAAGTTCTTTGTGCAACATGAGTGACAGCATCTTTACTTAACATAGTATAGATTAATATATTGAACTTGAAGCAATTGCAGTGTTTTGTCCTTTCACCAACAATGTTTTGAGAGGAAGGAAATGTGTTTTATTTTACATTAAATATATGATTATTGTACCTAAATAAACTAATTCCTTATTATATGCTAGATGGGCTACTCGACAGTCTCTCCCCCTACTCCTTACCCCCCATACATTATGCCTCTCACCTGTTCCCTCTGCCTCTCTCCCTTCCTTCTGTTCTCTCTCCCTCCCACTCATTTTTCTGCAGTAAAATCTGTTTTAACACACTATAGACAATCAAACCAACATTTCATACTTCATAGGTGTCTCTGGGATTCAGAATGGGAACTGATCCTTCTTAAAGAGGGGTATAGGTGGGGAGAGGGGTCCAATCACCCTTTGACACTGCATACAATCACAAAGAACCCTTGCAAAATTTAGTGAGCTCAAAGTGTGTGGCTCCCAACATTCACCAGACAGACATTCTCTCTTATAGATACAGATGTGGCTGGCTGGTGGCACCTTTACAAAGTGACACGAGTTTCCTCAGTAAAGTTTCTTGACTAACTGATTACCACAATATTAGTTAATTTGTCAGATAAAAATTACTTGTGTGAATGTAATGTTTTTCATATAAAAAAGGCTGAATAGTTCATTAAATCATTAACTTCAAGAAAAAACAGAGTAAAAGACACAGGATCATAGTTCCTCTCTTCAAGTACAGTTCTAACATAATAATTTTATAATTTAAATATATTCATTGACAATCTTCCATTCATGGTAGTTTACACACTGGACAGCATGACAGAGACCCTCAGTCGCACTGCCACTAACGTAAAATACCTTATATTACCCATTTGGATATCTAACTAAATTACCCAATCTTTCACCTTTCAAAGTTCAGTACTGTACAGTGCAACACTAATACGAGGCTATGTAACACCACAAATGTAGTGTTTAATGAAAATAGGCTTTGCATTTTTATAGGTAAACTATCTAAATAACATTAATGCTTTGCTTTGGATCTTTAACCCCTTTATTAAATAAACCAAATTAAAAACTATCACGATAAAAAAAAATTTCCCTGTGGTGTTATGCTTAAAGGAATATGTAATAAAAGCTAGACCATGTAATTAAATATACTGTACTGTATACATAAACTTCTTAAGTTCCAAATACAATACTGTAGTCTTTTTCATTTACCCCCAAAATATTTGCTAAATTTGGTGAAATAAGCCCAAGGAGGCACGAAAAGACATCAATTGGAAATCTCAAGCGAGGTCCAACCTGGTCCAAACCCGAGACTTCTGCGAGTTTGCCAGCAACCTGAACCTGGGTGAGCTGGAAAATAACCAGATCCCAGATCTTTAAAGAAAATACATTAATTTGTTTGTGCATAGGCAGGTATGACCATATTTTAACAGCAGCATGTTGAGGGTTAAGCAAGTCTGGAGACTTGCTGGACTGGAGGGACTTGAGGGAAGACTGGAGGGTTTGGAGAAGGTGAATGTGGATTCACAATGGCAAGTTGCAAAGAAACAAGAATACTTGTTGTGCAAGTTCCTGGAGGTGAGGATATCCTCCTGCATTTCCATATTTTAAAGGGATCCTTCTTGATATCAAACACTTAAAAATATTGTCTTCAGAGAGCTCGGGTTAACTCCATCTGCATTTTTTCTCGTTTCTTGGCCACAACAACTAGGTGAGGTTGAAAAACTAATTTCAGAGAAAAGTCATGGTTCTCAAAATCAATGAATCTTTCATTATATTCTTTGACTCATCATTCAAAGGCCTCTTATAGAATTATTAATCTATAACAGGCCTAGGTTTAGTGGAGGAATAAACTTATTAGTTTTGTATAAATCCTATCAGTAAAAAAATGTTACATGCTCCAAACTTGATAAGCAAATTAAGTAACCAAATTGTTAAGTATAATAGTATATCTTTAAGGTATATTACATTTTTACACCCCCTCCTCGGTGGATGGTGCTTTGATGCAATGTTGGGGCTAGTGTACCGTCCATGAGTTGGGAGGATGGGGGGGTGGTAGCTGCTCTACCCCTCTCCTGCCTGCTGTGGTGAACAAGGCTACCACTTGGTACCCCATCTACTTTCAACTATAAACTAAATAACCAGCTAAAATCAAGCATTGTAGACTAAAAATAATTCAACCAGGCAGGTTTGAATTTTATTTGTAAACTCTGTTCTCACCACTTTCATTAAGTTGAGGGTTTTATAATGTTTCTTGAGAACATTTTAATTTTCATAAACTAGTGGTCAAAGACAGACTTACAGATAAGAAAACATTTAAATTTTTAAATTGCTAAATTGTTTATTTGGTAAAAATTTTGCTTATGAAACATTCAATAAATCTGATTTACAAGTAAAAAGAGAATATTATTCATTTCCCTTAATAATCTATGACAAAATTCATATAAAAATATAACCTCAAGATGATATTTCAATTTTATAAATTTAGCAATACATGTACAGTACTGTCAAACATGTGCATCATATAATACAAGTCAAAATTGTATACCATAACTGAAGTTTAAGATCAAGACCAGACATCCTGTAAATATTTTTTATCTATTTGCATTTTGGCTAAACATTGTCTGGCACTAATTTCTGTAATATCACTATTAGTCTGCAGTATGGATACAAAGGCTTCAAAAACATCCTTTGCCATGTTTTGAGCATCACCACAAACATACACAACAGCATCTGAATTTAACAACAGAGATGAAAGGACAGCACCATGTTTAATGATGCTGTCTTGGACATATTTTGAACCATCACTTGTTATACTGTCTCTTGAGAAACTAACAATAAGATGGTTCAAGATGCCTTGTTCATGGAATCTTTCTAGCTCTTCTTTATATAGAAAATCTTGCTCTTTATTACGACAACCAAAAAATAACCACGAGTCACCGAAAACGTCACTAGGTTTTGTAGCCATGAGCCTTTGTCGATGTTGGAGAAATCCCACAAATGGTGCAACACCTGTGCCAGGACCAACCATAACAATTGGAGTTGCAAGATTTTTGGGGAGACGGAAACTTTGGTTAGAACGTAAGTAAATGTTAGCACATACTTGTACATCAGGTCTGTCTGTAATAATTAACTCTCTAAACATTTTATTAAAATCTGTGGTATCATGTGCAAGTTCATTATACACTGAAGCAAGCCAACCAGTGCATATTCCCTTTCTTGAATATGTGACTGTATTTTCCTTTGGAATTTCAACTATATTAAAAACAAATGAGATATGTTCAGAATCCACAAGAGGAGAAGTTGCAATGGAGTAAGCTCGTGGTTGTAGCTGAGGCAGGTGCTCCAGGAGGGTTGTGACAGGCGGCTTACATGATTGAAAGATTATCAGAAAGTCCAATAAAGTGAGACTGGCTCCTCGAACATATTTGCTATATTCTGATGCACCTTCTTTGCTTACAAGTTCTTGTAAACGTCTTTTTTCCGAGGAATTAGATGTGTACTCCAGTAATGTTCTAATTAAAGGTTTCTTGGGGACAGACCTTATATCCAAGCAATGTTCTAATATGTACTTAACAGAACTTTTTGAAGGAATAAATTTAGGTACAGCTGCCGACCTCTTTTTGGTGTTTGGAATTATCGAAAGTTCACAAATCTTATCTGCTATATCAGATATTTGAAGCAAATTCAATAGAATTTCTACATCTTTCACTGGATTTTTTACTATAATGCCAAATGAATCGCCAGGCTCGTAAACAAACCTATCTTTTTCTTTGGGCAATTTTAAAGTAACCTCCAAAGCAGTTTTTACAGCATCAACTTTAGTTAGTTTTCTTGCTGATATTACACATGCTTGTACAACCTCTGATGCTGCACTTGGCAGAGGTAAATCACTTTGAATTGGGCTTCGTTCAGAATCATCTAGGTAAACTATTGTCAAATATGGTGGGGCTTGGACAGGTAATGTTAATTTTGCACTTGCAGGATAGGCACACAATTTTACAGGGAGGCACTGAAGATCTGCTGGAGACAAAATATCAATATTGTATTTATCTGCAACTACATCGATGCTATATGCCCTTTTTTCATCTACTTGACTGTCACTCATCCCCGAGATGATGCTAGTCCGATCTTCGAAAGCTTCCCCATTTACTGTAAGCGAATTCATACTTGCTTTAAGATTATTTGCACTAGTGATGGTACTTTTAACACTTGGATTCACATCATTTGTAAATTTTTCTTCACAAACTTTACTGCTTAAAACTCTTTCTCTAATGTCTTCCATAGCTGTATCCTGTTCTTGAACACTTACATTATTTGAAACAGGTCTACTAACTTCTCTCTTGGTCAGAAAGGTTTTTAGAGTAGGGATAAGCCCTTCAATCCATGGTTCGATCACAATCTCTAGTCCAGTTCCATCATCAGCCCAGCCACAAGCATAAAACCTGATTAAAATTAAAATAACGTTACTAAAAAAATTTATGGGCAGATTTTTGTTTAAACAATTTACATAACGACGTGCAACAGTATTTGTTACCTGTTTCCACCAAGAGCTTGGAGCTTCTGGTCAATGGTCTTGCCAAAGTTACAGAAATGTGTGTAATTTGTGTCTCCAAGGCCAAGGACTGTGTATGAGAGATGACTCAAGGTATCCACTGGCTGATCCTTCTGATGTAGATGCCTCCAAAACTCACGAGCAGTGTCTGGCGGATCACCGTCACCTGGAGACATGGACATTTTCAGAAGGTGCTCTTGGGAGAATAAAAATTTATTAACAAGCAAATTTTATACAAAATCTAGCTTACTGTATAACATATACAGTACTTAATTACAACCTATACAGTATTAATTAAAAAGTCACATGGGATCATACCGGCTTCTACACTTAATGGTTATAATGATTTATTGACCAATACAGACAATGCACAGTACTGTAATTAAGTTTTTCACAGTACAGTACTATGATGTACAGTATTTGTAAGAAGTGGCACAATTTTTTTTAAATAGTATAAAATAATTAGAAGCTCCAAATAGTACAAAAAAATAAAATATTACCAAGTGATGCTGCCTTTACATTAATTATATATACTGTACCTGTACTGTATACAAGGTGCAATGGAGTGTGTCATTACAGATTTTTTTAGATTAAATGGTATGTTCTTGCAAAGCCACTAATATGCATAATATTTTTAAATACTTGTACTCTAGTGAAACTTTTATTTTGACTAGCAGTGCAGAATATCTAGTATAAGATATTTATATATATATATATTTATATATATATATATATATATAATCTGAGTTGTAACATTTTTGTAGTGCCACTAGCACACAGCGTTTCAGGCAACTTGACTTTATGGGAACCTAGATTTGCCCAAGCCTAAGAGGCTTCCTGTTCTTGATCACAGTAAAGCATGCCAAACATTTATATTGAAAAAATTGGACATAAATCCTCTAGTTAAAATGTACACGTAATAATGTGGCATAGCCAAATAATACCGAGACAATTCGAGAAAGCCCATTTTCCAACTGTCAAAACTTTATATATCATGAGGTTAGTGTGGATTAGCTTAGGAGAGGCACAGTAGGTTGGGTTGGGCATACCTGCAGCGGGTTCTGAGAGTCCTACTCCCTGAGCCCAGCATGGGTAGGTTGGGCAAGGTTGGGGTGGGTAGGGCAAGGGTTGGGGTGGGTTGGGTTGGGTAGGACAAGGGTTAGGGTGGGTTGGGTTGGGTATGTTTTAAAAATATACTGGCAAATTGTCTTGTGTACAAAATGGCTTATATGCATAATAATTAGGTGTTATGACCTGTGGTTGAGCCAACGAGCACGAGGCAGGAGATGTTGTGAAGGTCTTGGCCCAGCTGGCTGCAGCACCTCAGCTCCCCCCTCAGCCCGGCCCCACAACACCCTTCCACCACCTCCTCGGCTATGGCCTTGGCATTCCCTGTCTGAGAGGCGTATACCACCAGAACGTCTGTGCCACCTTCACAACCCTCTCCCGTGTACACCACTATCCCGGCACCGTCTACCATCACCACCAACAGACACGTCTACACCCACCACTGGCCCGGGACCATCTGTCCTCACCGGTATCTCAGGACCGTCTGACCTGACTGAGACAGTAGACACTCCGCGGCCCTATTTATGGAAACACTCGGAGCAGGTGTACTCTTTCGCAACATTTGGGAACATTAATGCAGTAAATTGAAAGTTCTGGATGAAAATATTAATAAACAGCTTTGTTAACTTCTTACTTCAAATTTCAAAATCTTAATTTATGATGAAAATCAAAGCTTTTAGAGACAAATTAAGTTCCACAATAGCATGACTGGCATCTCACCAGTTACAAAATATTGTTTTAAACATTTTTATTTTGTCTGGAATTATATGCAATATTTTGCAATATTATTTGCAATTTTGTACATTTGAATGTACAAAATTCCTTATGCCAACAAACTGTTTATTTCATATATTAATATATGAACATATATAAATTACTTAGCGAAAATTAAGAATATACGCAAGTCAAGGAAATCCAATCTATTAATTTTAATATGACGTAAACTATTTATATAAAATACAGGGCGAATATTATATATATACATATAATTTTTCAATATTATAGTTTAGAACCAATTTCTGTTCTAAATATATGAATGTAAACAAGAGTTATGACACTTTATAGCTAACTAAAAATGTTATGTTCAAATATAAAGAAAATTACAATTGCTCTACAATTGCACCAGAGGTGGTACCCTTATATAAGAAAATTAAATATATATTGATTATATTCCAGAGACATGAGCTAACATCTTTCAATACATATGCAAATATATCAATATACGATTTGTCTCAACTGTCAAATTATTGATCTTTTTCTCAAAGAAACATTCATATAAGGCAGACAGTTTTCGTATTGCTATTATAAAGGAAGTAATGATATTATTATGTAAATAAAACTTAGGAATTAAGTTAGATATAATGGACAAACTCCACAATGGACAATACTGTATATGTTATATTGCATAATGTTTATACAGAAATATATTAGATTAAATTATTTTCCATGATAAACAATTAAAGATGCTACACATAATGTTATAGTGAAAATTAAAATTAAAATTTATAATTTAGAATAGATAATGTAGCAGACTGATGGGAGTGGGGAGGGGGAACCTGGTCTTCAATGGGGTTCCTGTGTCGGGTCCCCGGGCGCCCAGACATAGGAAGATGTAGCCAAGATTCTTATTTTTACACGCCTGAAATACTTCTTATTAAGTGTCTTTGGCATGTTTTCGTCCGTTCAGGTGGTACTTTTGTTTGATGTGAACAGTTTCGCCGATACGTGCCAGAGTGAAAGTGAATTGGAACAAAATGTAACGCGATTGAAGTTGGGATGTTTGAAATTGTTGACAGAATTTGGCGCGCAAACCGAGAAGGGATCTGAGGTTGTGAGGTGGTCATGTAAATATTACGATCACCATAATTTCAAGCCCGACACCAGCAGGAAACACTTTGTTGATTTTAATAAAAAGTCCTTTGAAGATTTTGAAAATGATCTCACGGACAGATATTGTAAAGCTTTTGACAGGAAGCAGAGTGTCAACGAGCCGAGTGGGTCCAGTCAGCACCCGTCAGAGGGACCCAAGCCGCACTCCTACATCTTGAAAAAGTCCCTGCAGGAGGTGCTGCTGGACTACAACTGGGACCGGCCAGACATCACTTCCCCCGTCAAGACAGCTCGGAAGAAGGCCAAGGCAGGGCACAAGCTGCCAGAGGACGCCCGTCCTTATAACACTGTCATTGTCTTTACCAAAGTTCCTCAGAATCTTGCAGGAGTAAAAGAGTTCTGTGGCCGGACAGAGGCGTTCATTACGCCTGAAGACTTTTTAGGAAGCATTCTTGACTTTTCTATGGTGAAGACCTTTCAAGAGGACAAGCATATTTGTCTCAACTTTGTTAGTCTGAGTGAATTGCCCGTCACCAGTGAAAAAACAGCTGATCCTCAAGTAATCAGTGCTGTCCAAAGTGGTCTAGTTAAACTAAATGGAAAGTTGCATCTCATATCCAGTATTGTTCAGACGGTTGTTTCATATATTGCCGAATATGAGGAGGTTCCAGGTGTGGCTGGTGTGTTCCCAGCTCCCGCCACTCATGTGGCGGGCCTTGACATGCAAGTTTCATGGTGGAAAAGGACGAGGTGTGGCAGACCTCGGCGACCTCAACCTGGCCCCACCTTGGTGTGGGAGGATGCTGATGGTATCTCTTACTTGAAGGCTCAACTAGAAGTTTTAGCTGTTCATGGAAGGTAAGTGAATTCAGATTGAAGGCTCTAGAAGGTAGAAATTGCTCTTGCTGTTAAAATAAACCTCAGACAGTTACTATTTTTTTATGGTATTTGCCCCTCCAAGTACACCTGACATGATCAAGTAAACCACCAAAATAACTTCCTTTCAGTCACACTGCCCAATACTTACCTAATTGTGCTTGTTGGGGTTGAGATCTGGCTCCTTGGTCTTGCCTCTCAACTGTCAATCAACTGGTGTACAGGTTCCTGAGCCTACTGGGCTCTATCATATTTACACTCGAAATGAGTGTGTGAAACCACCCAAAGCCCAGTGGTAGGCGTTAGGTACTAGTGACCCATTGGGTTAGTGTTATAACATCAGTCACAGTGATAGCTGGTTGCTGGTGCCAGCTTCTACCACTACACAGAGTGTAACAGGAAAATTGCTAGTTCTGAGAAGGTTTGAGTTATGATAATAGTTTCACTTGTATTTTTCACAGGGAATTTGTTGTCATGAATATTCAGTATACCATAAACATTACATTCTATTAAAATACTGCATGTTTTAAATCATTCATATAATTCTAAGAGTAGTTGTATTTTAATTTCTGGTCATTGCAGTATGAAATGTCAATTGGATAAAGATCAAGACCATTATGTCTATTCTAAATATTGTAAGATCAGTGAAGCAAACTGTACTTACATTTGAAAATGTTGTTTCTTTGAAAAAATAATTAAAGAACTTGTAGGCTGATAGTTCGTTAAAATTATGAATTTTTTTAATAGCAACAATAGTTTTATGTAAAAAATAATAATGACAGCTACCAGCCAGCATTATGCCCAGAACAGTAATGACATCTACCTGTCAGCATTATGCCCAGAACAGTAATGACATCTACCTGTCAGCATTATGCCCAGAACAGTAATGACATCTACCTGTCAGCATTTGTGCCCAGAACAGTAATGACAGCTACCTGTCAGCATTATGCCCAGAACAGTAATAACAGCTACCTGTCAGCATTATGCCCAGAACAGTAATGACATCTACCTGTCAGCATTATGCCCAGAACAGTAAGGACAGCTACCTGTCAGCATTATGCCCAGAACAGTAAGGACAGCTACCTGTCAGCATTATGCCCAGAACAGTAATAACAGCTACCTGTCAGCATTATGCCCAGAACAAATTTCAGTAAATTTATTACTGTACTGTAATTCACATTTTATCTCAAATTTTAAAACTATTTTTCAGCTGTTCTCGTGAATGGGGGAGTGCCATTGTGGTGGGTGTGGTACGTAGCAGTGCGGTGAGTGTACTTGCAGTGGCCGGGGGCATCGGCCACCTGTATGTGTGTCATGCACCAAACACCATCTTCACTACTCTGGTTCAGGTCCTGGCTAAATATCAGCTGTCAATGGTAAGATGCTGTGTATTTTCTTCTCATATAACATTTACAACCTATTCACAGTAGTGTTTAATTATTTACTAATACACTATACAATAGGTTATGTGGGTGCATTTTTTTTAAGGTGTGTGAAACCACCCAAAGCCCAGTGGTAGGCGTTAGGTACTAGTGACCCATTGGGTTAGTGTTATAACATCAGTCACAGTGATAGCTGGTTGCTGGTGCCAGCTTCTACCACTACACAGAGTGTAACAGGAAAATTGCTAGTTCTGAGAAGGTTTGAGTTATGATAATAGTTTCACTTGTATTTTTCACAGGGAATTTGTTGTCATGAATATTCAGTATACCATAAACATTACATTCTATTAAAATACTGCATGTTTTAAATCATTCATATAATTCTAAGAGTAGTTGTATTTTAATTTCTGGTCATTGCAGTATGAAATGTCAATTGGATAAAGATCAAGACCATTATGTCTATTCTAAATATTGTAAGATCAGTGAAGCAAACTGTACTTACATTTGAAAATGTTGTTTCTTTGAAAAAATAATTAAAGAACTTGTAGGCTGATAGTTCGTTAAAATTATGAATTTTTTTAATAGCAACAATAGTTTTATGTAAAAATAATAATGACAGCTACCAGCCAGCATTATGCCCAGAACAGTAATGACATCTACCTGTCAGCATTATGCCCAGAACAGTAATGACATCTACCTGTCAGCATTATGCCCAGAACAGTAATGACATCTACCTGTCAGCATTTGTGCCCAGAACAGTAATGACAGCTACCTGTCAGCATTATGCCCAGAACAGTAATAACAGCTACCTGTCAGCATTATGCCCAGAACAGTAATGACATCTACCTGTCAGCATTATGCCCAGAACAGTAAGGACAGCTACCTGTCAGCATTATGCCCAGAACAGTAAGGACAGCTACCTGTCAGCATTATGCCCAGAACAGTAATAACAGCTACCTGTCAGCATTATGCCCAGAACAAATTTCAGTAAATTTATTACTGTACTGTAATTCACATTTTATCTCAAATTTTAAAACTATTTTTCAGCTGTTCTCGTGAATGGGGGAGTGCCATTGTGGTGGGTGTGGTACGTAGCAGTGCGGTGAGTGTACTTGCAGTGGCCGGGGGCATCGGCCACCTGTATGTGTGTCATGCACCAAACACCATCTTCACTACTCTGGTTCAGGTCCTGGCTAAATATCAGCTGTCAATGGTAAGATGCTGTGTATTTTCTTCTCATATAACATTTACAACCTATTCACAGTAGTGTTTAATTATTTACTAATACACTATACAATAGGTTATGTGGGTGCATTTTTTTTAACCCCTTAACTGCGTTGCCTCCAAATGTGACACCCCCGCAGTGCGCAGGAAATAAATTCTCTGGAAAAAATTCTTTTTTCTTTTTAAAGTGTCAAAAACCCTTCCCTCAGTATGGGTATGTAAAAAAAACGTCGAAATTGTACTTACTTTGGCTGCTATGGGGTCCGGAAGTTGGGGCGTGACGTCATCATTCCCCGTGCGCCCGTGCCGCAAGCTCTCGGGGGCGGTGGGGCGCTCGGGGCGGGGCGCGCGAGTTGCCGCGAATATATTTTCGTTCATTTTTTGCGCACCTTTCCAAATACATTTTCATTGCTTTTATGTGCCAATCCAATGTATAATGAACACGTCCACTATAATATCGCAGTACAACATCTGTACTGTCCGTAGACACTGTGTTACGTGCATGAAACTTGTGTACACATATGCAGCACATATTTACTATGTATCATGCTAATTTGTGTATATATACAATCTATTTACACACTATACACTGTCACACACTATATACATTCACCATCAACACATTCAGAACACCGCGTAGCAGCTGCTTCGTATGGGCCAATAGCAGCTGCCTCGTATGGGCCAATATCAGCTGCCTCGTATGGGCCAATATCAGCTGTCCCGTATGGACCAATAGCAGCTGCCTCGTATGGGTCAATAGCAGCTGCCTCGTTTGGGCCAATAGCAGCTGCCTCGTATGGGCCAATAGCAGCTGCCTCGTTTGGGCCAATAGCAGCTGCCTCGTGTAGGCTAATAGCAGCTGCCTCGTTTGGGCCAATAGCAGCTGCCTCGTTTGGGCCAATAGCAGCTGCCTCGTTTGGGCCAATAGCAGCTGCCTCGTTTGGGCCAATAGCAGCTGCCTCGTTTGGGCCAATAGCAGCTGCCTCGTATGGGCCAATAGCAGCTGCCTCGTATGGGCCAAAAGCAGCTGCCTCGTATGGGCCAATAGGAGCATTTGGCCATGAACACATTCAGAACACCCTGAGTGAGAGCAGCCACACCCAGCCATTCTCCCTCACTCCAACATCTTACTCGCCAACATTGCTCCTCCCACCATATTGTTATAGTTCTTATTACACATGGTCTATATACCTATCTACATGTTTTATTTACCAGAACTATGCAAGTAAGCTGGAATTGTGTCCAAACAGTACAGTGGCCACCATACACTGCATGAAAAATCACACAGACGTTGCTACGATTACGTCACCTCCCTCACCAAAATAGCTCCTCTCAACATTCTCCTGTTGCTGTTCTTACACTATATACACACACTATATATACCCATGTACATATGTGTTGCCCATAGCGAACCACTAAGCTAGTATGGTGAGCAAAACAAGAGTGGCAGCCACACACACACAATGAGGCTACCTCAATTCTCGCCCTCCCTCTCTCATCAAAATTCCTCCTTCCACAATACTACGCACAACGCTAATTATAACCACAATCCTGCTATTATCACAATCCTGGTTACTAATTCCTGTAAATTAATAATTGACCACATGTTTATTTTGAAAAGGAACCTAAGAAATCATTTGAAGATTCCTAGATGAGCGAAATAATGCTGTGGTGCTGTGGCTAGCGCTGTGAACATCGTGAACAGCATTGAATCACTGAGATTTGAACATTGTACCCAGTCATTATCACACTCAGGCTCTAATATAACACTATCATAGCTAAATAATACAAGTTATATATATATTTTGACATTATTAGGCGATGCTGTGGTCACATGCTGAACAGCAGTGCTGTGCGCTCATGCTGTGAGCGCCAGCCTTGGTTGCTCACACACTACTGAGGCTCCCACACCCGGGAATGTGGACCACGATTTTTTTTAAAGATGGCGTCTGTTTACAAGAGCCCTGAGGAAGCTGATGTGAACCCCATGTAGCCGCGGGAGTTTTGAATGGAACGTGAAAAATACAAATACCTGGAGGCGCGTTGCGCAAACCAGACGTGAGCCTGCAGGCGCGTTGCGCAGTTTAAGGGTTAAGAGACATTGTGTTGAACCAACTGCATATTATTTTGGTAAGAATAACATTAAATTATGTTACAGGAAAAATAAATTTGGTATAGAATGGTATAAATTTTAATGATACAGTATGTATGGGTGCTGTAAAATGCTAATTTATTCAGTAATCAACATACATAGTAATTTACTAGTCTGGTTTAACTTAGTCATTACAATAAAGTGCATTAAATATATGAATTGTAAGAGTAGTATAAAATCTAAATAAAAGTAGATTACCAAAATATTTCATAGATAAATAACCCTTGTATAGGACTCTTGCCTCACACATTTGATGCCGTGTATTATGATAATATATGGGAATAACAATGTATGAAACTAACACTGTAATACAATAGCTAGTATTTTTACCTAGTTTAAAGCTGTATTTCTGAACACTGTCAATTTTGGCAATTTGTACTGTATTCCTTTAATTTGTCACCATTATGTATTTGTATACATTTCATTCTATGAGTATTTATATTATTGGCATGAGAACTGGTGGCAGAGCAACAAGTGATGGACATAATATTTATACCCAATTTATAGGTATAAATTGGATAAGTTTAGATTTAGGAAAGACCTGGGTAAATACTGGTTTGGTAACAGGGTTGTTGATTTGTGGAACCAATTACCATGTAACGTAATAGAAGTAGGATCTCTTGATTGTTTCAAGCGAAGGTTAGACATACAGTATACATGAATGAGATTGGGTGGTTATAAATAGGAGCTGCCTCGTATGGACCAATAGGCCTTCTGCAGTTACCTTTATTCTTATGTTCTTTTGTAATAGTGCTGAATATCATACATCTCTATTTTCTATTAAATTATTATTAGCCTGTCTATGTTGATAAAATGTTCAATGTTAAGAGTTGCATAGTGAGATTGTCAAGGAAGAGTTCTTAGATATGTAAGATGACATCAAACTACTGTATGGAAAAATGTATAAAAAAATTTAGGTACTGTATATAATATTTTGTTTAATTTATTTTTAATGTTCAGCCATATTTAAATTAAACAAATATTGTTGTATAAAATAGTAAACAGAAGGGAGTTTGTTACAATACAAGTTGAATTTGCAGGTCTTAAAGTTGAGTTGTGGTGGCATCGCCATTCTGTGTCCATGGGCAGGTGGTGTTGGCTGTTTGACTGTGATATCTGCTTCAGGATTGGCTACTCCACCTCTCCACAGCCAGGCCACAAATCAAGGGTCCCGAGTAACAGACCCACATCTACTCCGATTTGTTGCACAGTCAGTGGAGAAATGCTTGAAAGTAAGAAGCAAATATTATGATGTGATTATAAAATGTTACATTTGTAGTTATTCTTTATTGATAGTATTGATGGGATGTAGCCAGTTGCAATTAGTATTTTATTGTGGGTGAAGCTGGATACTGGCAAAAGGATAAAATGGAAGCTGAAAAAATTAATAATTAACAAACCGTAGTTGATTCTGATAAAACAAATAGACAATAATGATGGTGACTGGATGGTTGTGTTGAATGAGGGCTCGAGAAAAGTTCGCTCTATGTCACACACACACACATGTATATATATATATATATATATATATATATATATATATATATATATATATATATATATATATATATATATATATATATATATATATATATATATATATATATATATATATATATATATATATATATATATATATATATATATATATATATATATATGTATGTCGTACCTAGTAGCCAGAACTCACTTCTCAGCCTACTATGCGAGGCCCGATTTGCCTAATAAGCCAGTTTTACTGAATTAATATATTTTCTCAATTTTTTTTCTTATGAAATGATAAAGCTACCCATTTCATTATGTATGAGGTCAATTTTTTTTTTATCTGAGTTAAAATTAACGTAGATATATGACCGAACCTAACCAACCCTACCTAACCTAACCTAACCTATCTTTATAGGTTAGGTTAGGTTAGGTAGCCGAAAACGTTAGGTTAGGTTAGGTTAGGTAGGTTAGGTTGTCGAAAAAACATTAATTCATGAAAACTAGGCTTATTAGGCAAATCGGACCTTGCATGGTAGGCTGAGAAGTGAGTTCTGGCTACTAGGTACGACATATATATATATATATATATATATATATATATATATATATATATATATATATATATATATATATATATATATATATATGTTTATGCATGTATGTGTAATAAAAAAAATGTGTAACTATAATCACAAGATTGTTACTTGCTTAGCTAAATAAACTATGGGGTTCAGTTGCTGAACCCATTATGTGCCTCTGTAATCCTTTTCACCACCGCCCACAGGATGGGCATAGGATGTACTGTATAATAAATGACTACCCGTGGCTGTGCAAAACCTCCCACCTTCACATTCAATCCAGTCATACTCTTTAAATCCATAAAAACACCATACATCTTTCTTACCCTTGCTAGAAATGTTTCAATAACCATTCTCACAGCAAAAATCTAGTCTGTACACCCCCCCCCCCCTCTCATTTCTAAATCCACTGTCTCTTCCACATCCTACATTATATTATCTCTTACTCTTAATTTGCACCTTTGCCTATACAGTACTTTGCTAAAATACTACATTAATTAAAGCATTTCTCCTATAGTTCCCTATAGAGGAAGAACTATATTCCTTATAGAAAGGAGAACTTTCCTTCTAATCCTGCCCTCTTATTTAGGGATCACAATGGCTTTAGCCCAATCATCTGGCACCTCACGATCTTGTGATGCCATCCAACATATTATATTATGCCTAGCATCACTACAACTCCCATACCTCAATATATCCAAAGTTATTCCATCTATACCAAGTACCTTTTCCCTCTTTTAACCTATGCATAGCTTCTTTAATTTTGTCCGTGTATAACCTCATGTGTTACACTGGTCTCTCACTGTTAGTAGAAGGGGTTGGTAGTACTAACAGAGGGATGAAAGTAGAGGAATTAGGAACTATGGAGAGACAGATAGTTTTGATCACTCTAAGATTATATTATTTCATACAATTGTATTATCAAATATGCTAATACTGGAGCCCACAGATACCTCCTTTGATTTTTCTAATGTGATCAAACTATCGAGTTTTGACCTGAATTCCTCCACAGAGTGCTGCACCGCACACTGGTGGGGAACCAACCACAAGCACCAAAAGATTTGCTGCCAACCAAACTGAGCGGTGGTTTAAGCCCGTTGAAGTATGTAGTGACACCATCAAGCGGATCAGAAAAAGGTCAGATTTTGTCAAGTATTTCTGTTCGTGTCACTTGCAGCCTATTTTAATGTCTATACTATTATCTTCATTTAGCTATACATCTGTCTTCTTGTTGTATTAAACATCACCCTGCTTGGCCTCCATTCTCCACAAGAAAAAGCACTGTACTACTTCCTATTTACAGTACAGTAGTACTACTACCAATTTTCCCCCCATTGCTCCCTGTTTGTCATTTTACTTAGGTCATCTTAAGGCTAAAATGTTGTCATTGTTGGGCAAGCTGCACACACAAAAGAATTATTAATTTTCATTTCAAAGAATTATTAATTTTCATTTTAAAGAATTGTTTATTTTCATGTACTAATGAGTCAACTAGACTCTTCAGTGTGAAACAACCTTTACATGGAACACTGCAGTCACTTATGACCATTTGAATTTGTCATGTTTTAATATTCCCAGTAAAAAAAGTCAGCTAACTGGAATGTTCAGCTAATTTGAATGAGCGATACATACTTTATCAATGAGCATTTATTTTTAGCTTTCATGTCCATATTTGTAGTATATTCTGTATAATCTAACAGCAGTGCAAATGACATAGAATTTTAATTTTCCAGGAGGGTCAATAGAATTGAACGAAAAGCCATGCAAGAACGTCTTCAAAAAAGATACCGTCCCCAAATTCCACAACCCTTGGCTACGGGGGAGACTGGACCATTAGATCTCATCGACATTACTCAGCCTCCAGTAGACCCAGTACCTGGCAACACTGCCAAGCCCACCATGTCTCGAGCACAGCAGCTTGTCAAAAAGAGTCATATTGTAACTGCACAGCAAAAAGTAAAGGTTAGTGTGCAGTTTACTTAATAGTAAATATCTTCTGTGGGTTTATTAATTCTTTAATATAGTATCAGTGCACTTTTATGAAGTTTAGATACCAATTCACGTAAGATTCAATGACAATCTATTAACATTTAACTCTTGCATGGTGGTTTAAAGTGTGAATATTAATAGTAAAAATATTTGTGATACTAGTTGTTCTTATAGAGTGGTTATTTTGTTTGGGCGCGAACCCTTTTTATTTGGACACTGGGACCTTCTGGTCCACTCGTTGCAGTGGCCTTGCGGCAGTTTCATGTATAGCCTTGTGGCTATTTTCCTCGTGCTGTGTCTTGCGGCGTTTGTGGGAAATTCGAGTATACTGTACCTGGGATATATGCAGCATTTGACCATTCCCCAGGATGCGACCCACAACAATTGACTAACACTGAGGTTCCTAATCACTACTAGGTGAACAGAGGCAATGGGTTTAAGGAGACTTGCCCATACGTCTCACCCTGCCTGGGATTGTCAGGGCGTAATTGAGTGTAGTTGTTTTAAAGTTTATTTTCTAAAAGCGTGATTTTTGTCCTTTAGTAGTTATCCATGCTGCTTTAACTGTGCTGTCATTTGAAGTTTAGCTGATCTGAGTTCAGCTTCTTTCTAAATATGCTAATAAAAATTAGATTTTCCTTGAATGTGGCTCAGGACTGAGTTGCATTTACGGTGTATTAAACTTTGCTGAATTGTAGCTGCATTATCTCTAGGAACAACGTGCAGAAGAAGAGGAAAGAGTTCAGGCAACAGAGCGACGAGCAGCACAAGCGTCGGAGCGTGCACGCAAGAGTCAACAACTTGAATCACAAGTCCTGAATACTGTTTCAAACCCACAGGTATGTTAGTATATCTTTTCTCACCTTAGAGTGTAAATGTATAATAAATTTAATATCCTTTTCCCTTTAAATAGAGCTTGATAAGTAACAGTTATAATATATTTTATATGTTGTAAGTTATTTTTAATCTTGAAAATTAATTTTGAAAATTGAAACCAAAAAAGTATTTTCTGGGAGAAGCCTCTGGGGGGCTATCAGAAGCTATCTTGCTGAGATGGCTCCTGGCTATTGGGTCACATCAGTCTCAGGAGTCCTGTTAGGCCTGCTTGCGACCAGAACCTTTACCCATTAGTTTAGTTTTTAACGCTTAGTGTAGTGTTTAGTTTCTAACCCTTAGACAGCAATTATCATCAATTGTTGATTCACAGGGTAATGGGGTTATCATCATATGAAGATTTAAACAATTATTGTCTGGGTTGTACGTGTATGATGCAAATATGGATATACAGTAATAGGTCTATGAGGACGTAACGGAGTTCACCTTATCTTGAGGTTATCTTGAGATGATTTCGGGGCTTTTTAGTGTCCCCGCGGCCCGGTCCTCGACCAGGCCTCCACCCCCAGGAAGCAGCCTGTGACAGCTGGCTAACACCCAGGTACCTATTTTACTGCTAGGTAACAGGGGCATAGGGTGAAAGAAACTCTGCCCAGTGTTTCTCGCCGGCGCCTGGGATCGAACCCAGGACCACAGGATCACAAGTCCAGCGTGCTGTCCACTCAGCCGACCGGCTCCCATGAACCCATGAAAAAATCCTGCTACCATTTCATGATACAAATGCAGTTTGATATCATCATGAACGTTACAAGGGGAATGCTGTTATCGTATGATGATTTAAACAATTATTGTCTGGGTTTTACATGTATGATGCAAATACGGATATAAAAGCTCTGAGGATGTAAATAAAGAAAAACATGTGGTAAAACATCGTTGAGACAAGACAAATCAGATCGCATCAGCATAGTCGATTACCAGGCGTTGACAAGTGCCAGACACACAGAGTGCCTCCACCCAGTGAAATGATAGACATTTATTTTTCGTGTTTATCTTATATTCTGCATACAAATGAATAGTTCTCGAATGAAATTTTTTTGGGGGAATTTTTTTATTTTTTGTGTATGTACTGTATTGGCAAGTATGACCATTTCTCTATAGTCACAGTCTAAGGGTTTAGTTCCCAGGGTGGAGAGGAAAAGAAAATACAGTTAATGCCTGGTTTTACACATGAATGTGTTCCCAGACACCTCATGCTTCAGTTATGTGATGAATTCAACAAATGATCTTTGGGGGAAAGTTGGATGTGTTCCTGAACTATATAATACAGTTTAGTTATAAAGATGTGTACTATTTGGGGTAAAGTTACATATAATTTTAATTGTTTCTGGATTCAGATTATTTCAACCTGCCTTTCTAAACTTACGAGAAGAGCACTGAATGTAGTAATTTCCCATTCTTTACTTTGTGTTTTTTACCTGCTTGGTATCTGTTTTTGGGTTCAAATTATTGTCACTTGTCTCATTATTTCAGGACACAGAAGAGCTAGTGCAGTCCTTAGTGTGCCTGCGCGATGGGGATGGCGGCCAGACTGATTTGTTCACAACGGCACAAACCATCATAAATCTTGCACTGATGCACGTCAAAGGTTCAAGCAGAACAAATATGGAGGTTAGCTGCAGCATTTATGGTCAAAGCATCAGGACTAACTCCTGTTGGAAGCTTAGCCAGTCTTTGTTATTGAACCAGTTACACCTTTAATTATTATGATCTGTAATCTGCTAACCGTTTTTCTACGTAACCGAATCGCCACAATGAATTAACAATCACCACAAACCTCACCATAGCCCGTGCTACTTGGAATTTTTGTTCCAGGTAGCGAATCTACAACAACAAAAAACAACTGACATTGAATTATTGTAATTTTGGTTTCAGGAAGGATTGCGTAAGGTCCTGGGAAGTGGTGTTCTGCAAACAGCCGCCGAGATCAGTAGTAAAGGATCTCCAGACACTCATCTTTGGCATTATAAATTACAAACTTTGCTGCACCTTGAGCTGCTTTGGGTATTAGGTAAGTGTTTTAGTTCCCAGGATTTCTACTACTTGATATGTACATATTTATTAATAAAATTTGATGTTCAGTTGTCTGTCTGTTAGTTGCCTTTAAAATTTAGTTAGACAATTTATTTGTCTCTAGATCTAGTAATTACCTAAGTGTAGTTACAGGATGAGCGCTATGCTCGTGGTGTCCCGTCTTCCCAGTACTCTTTGTCATATAACACTTTGAAATTACTGACAGTTTTGGCCTCCACCATCTTCTCACCTAACTTGTTCCAACCGTCTTACCTCATTTTCCTCCTCATATTTTTTCTTCATGCTTTCCTCTTCGTCATTGTTTTCCCAAGCCATCCCTCTCTATCTTCCTTTTCTGTCCCTTTTTTTTGGGTGCTCAAAACTGTTCTATTTAATTTTTGTATTAATGTTTCTGACAGGCTGTTCATCATCAAGTCAAATAGGTGATGATGAAGAGGAGGAAAGTCGGAGCAGCAGTATAAGAGAGTATCATGTTGAGGAGGTTATGAAGATGTTACGTGCAATTTCCTTACGTCACAACCCTACGACTATGGCCACCTTTCTACAGGACACCATCCTTGATAAGTATGTTGGGAGAAAAATGTGTGATGGTGACAGGCGGACACGTGCATACACATACACACCACTCCATACCTACCAACCCCTCTTACCACCAACTGTTTGTCCTTTAGTCCTCTTTTGAAGCACTTAAACTGACGATTGTCAGCTGCATTCCTTTCAAGGTGTCATCAGTCTCGTGTGGTCTGTCACAGGATGTAATCACTATAATTCTTACAATGCCACATTCAGCATCCTTATGGCATCTTTTTTTACTACTCTATATCCCCGAATATCTGACCACAGTAAACCAGCTTTTTGTTGATGATGTGCTCATAATGCACCCAGAGTCTGCCAGTGCAGACCACTTATCACATGCCTCTGTATGACTAACCAGCCTGTGTGATGGGGATTTTAGCATCACGTAGCTAGCTTTTTGACACAATGTACTCCCCTTCATATAGTCTAGGGGTAGCTGCACAAATGCAGATGTAGCTAAATGTGTTTATAAAAAAACAGCTTAAGGAGCACTTATGTTGCTCATGATATATCCTGCACAATGTATTTTTAAAATATGATTCCACTTTACATTTTATGTCAATCTGTACCTTGGTGGCCTCTGCTGGCTTTTTGAAAATAATAATTTTCCTCTTTTTTTTTTTCCTCAGCTATGTGGAAACTATGGGTGAAGTGTTGGTTGAGATCTATGAAGAACTAAACCAGCCCCTTCCAGAGCCTCTTCGTGTTCTAACTGGGGATGTTGGGTCTGTAGAAGACACCAGGCAACCTTCTGTCAAGTCCCATGTAGGAATTACTTGTCTTTATTTATTTAGAATGAGTTGTTTAGGTTATTGCTTTTTGTGTCAATTACTGTATCCTTTTCATGTATATATTTTTTATCAGCATTCTTCTAGGTCATTTAAAGTCATTTTGTTGATGTATGTTGTTATTGATGAATATTTGAAACCCATAGGAGAGCTCTGTTGTAAGCTATGGAAGTGGACCTTGCTCAGTTGAGAACCCTGGTTCTGGCAAATCACGAGAAGGCCGCAGGATGTCATCGCGTCATCCATCTCTGAAAGAAGCCAGTAAACGCAGCATTGTGGTACCAAAGGTAACACGAGCTTTATCAAGGACCCTCAGTGAACAGCCAAGGCTACCTCCAGTTGCAGTTTCTGCTGCTTCAGCCTCAAGCAAAGGTGTGTAAATTTTATGTATACAACATGATTATGCAAGAACTATGAACAGTCCTCTTTGTTTTCTATTTCACTTTATTTGTTATTACCTTTACCTTGCGTTGATTCCGGGGGTTAAGGTCACTAACCCGGTCACTGACCAGGCCTCCTTTTGGTTACAGTAGAATTCCCATATTCCAAAGAAGTTAATTCCACAATGCAATTTGAATTCTTAAAATTTAACATGAAAACATTTCTAATAGTTACTAACCATATATTTTTTGGTACCAATATCAAATAAGTTATTAGATATTCCCGATAAGGATACCTTAAAGTGTTGTTAACGTTGATAGACTTTTTCTCATATTTCCTTTCTGAGCTCTGTGGTGTGACCCAGCATATAAGACACCAAAATTGATTAAATAAAAAGAAAAGCATTGATTGTATTTAAAATGCCTCTTTCTGGTAGAGTCCCCGTGGCTCCTTAAAGCTAGCCCATTAAGATTGCTGCTTGCTACTAGGTTACAGCAGTCTTGGGAGTTCTGTTTGACCCACTGGTGACCAGAGCCAGAATCTCTTGAGGTGCAGAGAGTACATGACATTCTGCCACTCCACCTGGAAAGCATCCATAAAGTCAGAGAAGGAATACAGATAACTGCATGGTTCACACAAAACGACTCAAAACTGCCAAACAAGTTCCCAAGCAATTCAAAAAATTACCGAAACCTTTGAAACTATCTCAAACCTGTTAGTACCGATAACTATCACCAGGCAGCCTGGAGTCCCAGCTTCTCTGTGCCCTCCTTCCCAGTTCAGTTCTGGAGCAGATAGACAAAACACCAAAGAACCGACTCAACTGGTAGGGAGGAGTGTCAGGGATCCACCAGGGCTCTACCAGAAACGCATTTTATTACACTAAACACTGATAATCTGGGGAAGCTGACCAGGCTCCCTGAAGGTACTTCAAAGTCGAGTGGGGTTAGGGTAACATCTGATACTTGGTTCAATGGTGGTGTCACATTCTTAAAGAATTTGTTTTGATCATTGATCTACAATGTGTTCAGGATTTGCTGAAAACAGAATCACCTCAGTATTTCAATCATTTCTTTGCTATGATCTGTGAAAGTTTCATCACCCTTGTGCAAGGGCCCAATGCAGGATGTAGTTTTTGTTCTAGATTTTGCATAGGATAAAAAGTATTTTGGATTCTTTTCTGTTTTGCTTATGGCTTTTGGTCTCTTTGTCTCCTAGATTTTATATGATTCTTGAAACTTTAGTTCAATCTTTTCTAGTGATTGAATTAATCATCATTGATTGTAAAAATAAGATGTAAGGTGTTTACTTTGCTTTTTGGTTTTACTATTTCCTGGTTTAAAGTAAATCTGTCATACATCTGCAAAAGGTCATCTGTGTGTGACCGTTCACTCAAATTGCATCCTGGGATTCTCTGTGGTATAACTACCGGTATTTGCCACATTTTTACATTTTAGGTGCTGTAGGTTAAAGTCACTAAGTACAGTAAGATGATGATTGGGGAAGGGTTTGTGAGGTTTTCCAAGCAGTATTCTATTTTTGTAAGTTGGTCTTTAAACTGCTGAGGATTTGCATCTGGTGATTTATATACAAGGACAATCACCACATTTAGGATTTCCATTATAAACATTTGTACTTCCACCATATCATTTGTGGTGTTTAGCAGCTATAAACAGATGACTCTTGACTTATTTATATTTTTCATAGCAGGTGTACATTTTATTTCAGATAATGCAGACAGTAACCTAAGAAATGTGAGGCGTAATCTTTTTGATCTGACCGAAGCTGCTTTATCAAAACCCAAGCTGAAGCGATCCCAAACTGTGGGGGGAGTGCCTGTGTCCGAACTCAGGCGCAGCCCTCGCAAGAAACACCAAAGATCATCTACTATCATTACCCCAAGAAAGAGCAAAAATATCATCACTTCATCTAAAAACTTGTATAAAACTCCAGTGAAAGCATCAGTGGTAGCTACCAGAGGATACAAAACTCCTAAATCAAAGAAAAGTAAGTTTGTAAAAACAAATGTGTGCTTACGTATCAGTGACAACGTGGGAGGGAGATCTAGCTCTTTATGCCCCACCTCCAAGTCATTTATACCTTGAGGGCTAATTACCTCTCATTAACATTTTTATCATATTTCTTTTTTAAAGTTATGGATGAAATTTGGCTTTAACAACCTCTTCCAAACCTAACCAAAAGTTAGTTTTGGGCCTGAAGTCTGTTTCTTGTTTCTTAAACATGAGAACAAGTATGGACCATTTTTAAAAAGGATCTAAAAAGTCAGGATTTGGTCTCACCCATTTTTCTGTTTTCTAGTGGAAATGCTCTTTACTAAAAGTAGTCACTATTCTGTGCTTTACTTTTTCTTATTAGTATCCTCATTTTCTTGCTCAGGTGGTGTCTTGGTTCCGGAGACTCCTGGGGATAAAGTTGGCCAGAACATATTCAACAAAAACAGGATTCTCAAGAGCACTGGCACAACACTCATTGTTGAAAGCCCTGATGTCAAAAGTAAGTTTTTCTTCATGATAATATAAGTATAGCAACATTAAACTATAAAAATGTATATAAAGTGGCTTGCTTCTTCCCCCCTTCCCCAAAACTAGAATTGATGTTGAGTAATGCAGTTGTAGCAGTGTTAGGGGTTAGTAGTGATGACTAGTGTGTGTGTGTGGACTGTTACATGTTCCAGTTCCATGCATTACTTTAGTTCATTGTGCTGTTCCACTTCCTACAGAGTTTAAAATATATTTGTACCTTGCTTAGACGTTATCTAGTCGTGTCATTCGGTCAAAGATTCCATGACGTACAAGTGAACACACTGGTATCTCAGATACTTCGTCTCATTGTTTTAGGGAGATGCTACAGATTTCTGTATGAAAATATAAATTTATTCTAAAGTAGCATATTTTGTTTCTAAGCATATTGCGAAAATCTTATTAATGCAAAATGTCTTCAAACCGAGGTGTTTAGGAAATAAAAATTATAGTTAAGGGTGTAAAAAATAATTGCCACATATTTCAGATGAGGTACAACCCCATAGATTAGAAAATCAAGTGAATACACTATACAGTATTTTTCTTTATTTCTGAATATAGTACTGTTTACCACCGTGAAGTTAGTTAAATTTATAATTACACTACAATATTCATATAATCTGCTATTCTATAGACTGATTTAGGCTGTTCTTTCCTATATCATCCTCCCTCTCCTCCATATTCATGTATTCTTATGCAATCTGAAAGTGGATAAACTACTGGTGAAGGTTTCTGACTTTCTAATTATTTTAACTAAATTTCACAGGAGTTTGCAAAACTACACCTCGTCGGTTGCACGCAAGCCTGACTGTCACTCGCAGGAACACCTTCTACTCTGGTGCTCGCTCTCGGAACTGGGAACGTGCCAAGACTCAGCTCCTAGCAGACCGCATTCGGGGACACTCGGAGAGACGCAGTTTAGACTTGAGTTCTCTGCAAAATGTAGGTGATGCTAGCTTTATCTTTTCCCAGATATTGCCATCCTCTCAGGTTAATCAATCCCAGCAGGGTTCTGCTGAAGGTAGCAGAGTAGAAAAAAACTGCCCAAGTCCAGAAAGAATTTCATTAGATTATGGTCTTGATAAGAGCACTAGCAGTGAGGTGGAAGAACAACTAGACACCATGTTTACCAACTCTCCTACCAAGAGCATAAATACAAATGTAGTTCAACGAGATTGTTTATCCATGTCTTCAGGATTGGATTCAAGAACAACGCCAATAAAAAATGTTAGAAAAGTCCTTTCACTTTGCACCCCATCAAAAATAAAAGTACCAATTGACCAATCCCCAGTAAAAGTATTGGATTTAAGTTCATACACAGACAATGATCACTCTTTTCATGGGTTTGCAACTCCAAGTAAAGAAAAGGAAAGTCCAAATCTTTCCAAAGATGTACATCAAATTGTACCCAATTCAGATTTGTGTTTGTCAGCAGTAACCCCAAGCAAGAGAGTCCAGTTCAGTTTGACATTTACCCCAAGTAAACGTGTTTCTTTTACCAGCAATCCTCAGACCCCCAGAAATAAGGATGGATCTCTCTCCTCTAATCCTCAGACTCCCAAGAGCATTCTTAAAACTCCAATGAAAACACCAGGTAAAACACCCTTAAAGAGTCCTTTAAATAGTCCCTACATTTTTACCTCGGTCAATAAGAATGGAATGCATACACCTCTCAAAACTAATGGAAAATATTCAGATATTTCTTCCTTAAAAACTTGTAATCAGTTACCAAAGTTAAACCTAGAAAGAGGTCCAGAAGCGGTTCCAGAAACTCCTCCTGGTCGCCGACATAATGTCTGTACTCCAGTGAAGATTGATGGCATTTTTTCTTGTACAGAAAGTGAAATTGAACTTTTATCTCCATTTAAGAGAGAACAAACCCCTTCTAAAACATCTGCAGTTATCTTTAACACGCCTTTGAAAATTCATCCCATTAAGGAACTTTTAGAAAAGACCTCTCAAAATATAGACACTGCTTTTACTGCAGCTGGAGAAAATGTGTCAAATTTTGAAGATTTAAATGTTCCAAACATTGCTGCAGAAGATGTTGAAATGGTGAGCTCACTCATGTTTGGGGAAGATTTTGGTCCAGACTCGGGAACTGGGACATTGGAGTTCAGTGAAGACAATGAAGTTCTACAGGTGAACCTCAATATCATAAGCTCTCTTTCAAGTTCACAGCAGAAAATAGAGCAATCCCCTGTAAATATGTTCGGTGACTTAAGTGTGGACTCGCGTAGTTGTCTGCCAGAGAAACAGGTGCGTCTACTGGACCTGGAGTGCATTTTAAATGATCACTCGACGCCTGTAAAGGAGAATCAGCAGCCAGAATGTTCAGTTAGTCCTGAAATTACATTAGACTCTAAAATGAAGTTATACATTGAGAGGATGAACCAAGTAGTTAACAGGCAAAGTAGTGTAGTAGACCCATCAGCATACAATCGAGCCAAATCACCATGTATTGATGGTGGTCAAGTGGAAGATGCAGATTGTTCATCGGCTGATGATAAAGTGGAAGATGTCAGTTCTTCACCTGCTACCACAGTTAGTTCTATGACAAACAACGAGAATGTGATTGAAAAGTCAAATAGTATATTAAATAATGTAAATGAAGAATTAGTTTCCAACAAAGCAGAAACATCAACACATAAAGAAGCCAAGTCACAGTGCATTAATGGAGGTGAAGTGGATGATGTAGATTTGCTGTCTTTGACCACAGGGAGTTCTGTGACATGCAGGGAGGTGCCAATTGAAAGCACAGGTAATGATAATATGTTAAACAATGTAAAAGAAGAATTAGTTTTCAACAAACCGGTCATACTTGCATATAATGAAGCCAAGTCACCGTGCATTGATGATGAAGTGATGCAAGAAGATTGTTTGTCAGTTTCTGCAGGTAGTCCTGTGATTGACAATGAGGCACTAATTGAAAGCACAGATAACACATTAAATAAAGTAAAACAAGAATTACTTTTCAACAAAATTGAGACAATATCTGAGAACAAAATATCCATATTTAATATTGAAGGAGAAAAAGCAAAGCATGCAAAAGATATTAGGGAAAATATTTCTTTGAGCAAAACATTAGAATTTTGTACAAAAGAATCTGAGAAAAGTGTGTGTATTAATGAATCTCAGGAAATCTGTCTTCTAAAACAAAGCAAAAATGTATTGGTGCAGGAAACGGAGAAAAGACTTCACGTCAAGAAAGCAAAGATGGTCAACACAACAACAGAAAAAATAACAGCATCTCTTGAAGGTGCAGAGAGTTTACCTTTAAAAGCATCGGGTAAGAAAACTACCTTGAAAGACGATAAGAAAATATCCGGAAAAGAATGTGAGCAAAACAAGTTATCAAAAGGAATGAAAAGATCACGCAGCCTGGATGAACATGATGAAATACCTATAAAAGAAATAGTACAAAGAGTTAATCCAGTGTATGTGAAGGAACCTGCTGTCTCCAGCATACTGGACACTGATGATGCTTCAATTAATTTTAATTCAACTAAACAAGTTAAAAGACAGTTCTTTGATATTAGTGATGAGTCTGATGATGATTTTAGCCAGAGAAATATTAAAAATAAAAGAACAACCCATGGCAGACTTGATTTAAGTAAAAGAAGAGTTTCAGAAAGAAAGAAAATTGAGAAAGTGAAGAAGGCAGAAGTTAACCGTGCTTCACAAAGAAGACAGAGAACTTGTAAAAAGTTTATAGAGTCATTGTGTGAACTTAGCAGCGAAGACGACAATTTTGATGATGATATGTACTTTTCCAGTGTATGGATAACTCCTAAAAATAAAAATAAAAGGATTTTTGATGAGGACTCAGACTTCGTAACACCAGAAAAATTTGTTGAAGATGTGGCAGCAGAGAGCATGCCTCTGAAGACTGTTGAAAATTTACCCAATAAACCAATCACAGATTCATCCATGCCATCATGGTTGGATGAAGATCAGAAGAAGGCAAGAAAAGAACACACAGATATTAGAGCTGAAAATAGAATATTTACAGAGAATGTAAGCTCAACTGATGAAAGACATAAGCAGAAAAAAATTGATGTGTATCTCTCTCCTGTTCACAGGCAATTGCCCTCGGTAGAGACAACCCCAACCAGACCTCACCAAGAAGCTGTTGCTCGAAAACGACCAGAGACTCCAAATGATTGGAAAATAATCAAACCTAGACAGAATAAAAGGAAAATTTCTGAGGTTAAAGAAGATGTGGACAAAGATTCACAAATTAGTGCCATTAATAACAAAATAAATAAGTGCGATAAAAAGGTTGCAGTTGATGTAAACAGGAAAATGTGTATTGCAAAGAAAAAGAAGAAACGGAAAGGAATGAAGTTAAAGATTACAAAAAGTGGGGAACACTACCAGGTCTCTGAAACAAATAATTCACTTGAGAGCTCGGGTAATTCCAGTGCTGATGTAAGGCTACAACTTAGTCAGAGTGAGAGTATGCTTTCAAACTGTAGCTATAACCCTGACTCATCTTGCAGCAACACATCTCCAACTTCTGTAACTAAGAAGAGGAAGAAAAAAGAAATGGACAGAGAACCCAGGTCCATAATCACTCCCCACAGATTTACCCGTCATATGTCCAAAGACATTAGTGTGTCACCAGAGCTCTTTCAAAAACTGATCACCTTATCCCCAGTAAAAGAAAGAAATACAATGAAAGATTCTCACATTTCAAGTAATGAAGGTTTGGGAAGAAAGATTGAATTAGAACTGATGAGAGCAAGTAAAATTTTAACAGATACTTTCAGTGTTGCTTCTAGCTCTAAAAACAACTCATATATGGAGGACCAGATGCTTGCACAGGATCAAGTTCACCAGAAGAGTGAATCTTTAAATAAGGTTGTACAGGATGAGTGGTCAGTAAGAAGTTCACCCGGGTCACCCACTTTGAAAACATTTATACGTAAACAAAAGAAGAAATTTGCTATACTCTCAAGTCCACGCATTGAATTGTCACCTGTAATTCAAGAAACAATGTCAGATTCCGAAACCCACTCCAGTGTCCTGCAAAAATGCTCACCAAGTAGTATTGTCCCATTCCGTTCATCCCCAACCCACTCAAGTCAAAGGAAAGGATCTCGTCTTACAAATCCAAGTCTTCTTAGTTTGGTGCATCTTTCAGTCTCACCAATCATCAATAACAAATTGTCTGAAGAGACAAATGCAGGTGATGCTATCTTGAAATCACAGATAAAACCAAAGTCCAGTAGAAAATTGTATGGAAACTGGGAGAGCAGTTAAGACTAATAGAATATTGATGTGTATATTAAAACTGGGAGGGCAATTTTTATTGTCAAAGATGGTAAGGTATTAGTGATAAGCATAATGTACATATTGTAGTTATATTTTCAATACTGGAGGTTGTGTGAGAAAGAAATGAGGATGTGGCAGTCTAGTGCAAAGCCCCTTTAGCTAGATTTATTTCTTTGATATTTAATAATTTCTAAAATACATACTTTCTTTTTCTTTTCTCCAAGATTGTTTTTGAATTTGTATTTTACAAAATAATTATGTAAAGTTGAAAGTAAAATTCTTTGCTTTGTATTTCTTTCATAGATTTCGGGTGTTAATTCATCTCATGGCATTCACTTCATCACATATTGTGAAATATAGGAATATCATATTATTTAATAAAATTTTATTAATATGGAGTTATTTTATTTGCTTTAATGTATCATGTGTTAATTTGTACTGATTGAAAATTTAATAAATACATTTTATATCCATATTTTAAATAAAATTTTTGTGTTACCCTTCATTGGTAGAATAAAACATTAGCATCTTTAATGACAGTACATTATTTATAGGACATCACATTTTCCTGCCCCATCACTACCAGTTGTCCAAGTGTGCCATACAGTAGCTACTGTGACTACTTCCCCTAAAAGCAAAAGTAAATCTTAAGCGATGCTTGGTAAAATAAGTTATATAAAGTTGGTTCGTTCCGCCCTCCTTTTTTGGGGGTTCAGGGCGGGTGGATCAGAGTTCTTCCTTGTTGCTGCACTGGGTCATTGTGACATGGTTGGACTTAGGCGTAGTCATGCCAACCTCATCCCTTCGTTTGGTGTTCCATTTATTCCGGCTCCAAAGAGACTCGCTGGAACTTCGGTTCATCCTCATTCCTTCAAGTTTGGACAGCTTCATTTCCTGTCCAATCTTCTGCATGCCCACTTTTGCCCAAATACACCTGGTTCTCCAGCTGGGGACTTGGTGTCCGTAGACCTCAAGGATGCATACTGGTCCGTTCCTGTTCATCCAGGGTTCAGGGACTGGTTAGGTTTTGATGTGGGGTGTCATGCTTACCACTTTCAGGTCTGTCCTTCAGCTTGAATCTGGTTCCCTGTGTTTTCACTAGTTAAGCGAAGGTTATTGTGGCCCGGGTATGTCTCTTGGGGTTCATGTTTTGGCCAAACTTGACAACTGGCTGGTTTGGGCTCCCAGTCAGTCTGTGTGGCAGCCAGTCTCGGGTAATTTCCCCATTAGGCAGAGTTTGACTCGGGGCTTTGTACTTGTTCCTCTGGTTGTACCCATTTCACTATTGCCCTGACTGTCAAGTTTGGACCCCAGCTGCTCTTCGTTGGCTCCCTTCCGACTTTTCAGGGTTTGGTTTGGTCATCTACAAGGTTTTGCAGACTTTCTGAATGCTTTCCCAGTGAAATGGTAGAATGTCATTTGCTCTCTGCACCTCTGTGAAGGGGACCAGGTTCTGGCTTAGGTCCCTGGTAGACCAAAGAGAAATGCCACAATTGATATGATTTGTAACTTAATCTCAATGAGATAGCTACAGGAAGCCACTTAGGCTCTACCAGAAAGAGGCATTTCATAACATTCGACGTTTTGAATATTTCAGTAATTCTGAAGTTATTTTATTGCCATTTTTTGTCTTGCACACTGCCTCCAGTAACAAACAGGAAGCTTGCCTCAAGAGAAGCAGGTCTGTAAGCTGTAGAGTATGTGTGCCAGCACTTGTTGTTTGGTGTTGCCTTCAACTTGCAGAGTAAGTCCTGGATTTGGATGGTGTAGCTGCTGGATTAAGAGTAACAAGGTTTAAAAAAAAAAAAAATCTTGAATGCAGAAGATTGTATATCTGTCACAAGATGTGTTTAACAACCTACCTTGATGCAATAGGGCTGTACATTTGAAATAGCTTGACATTCGTTTCATAATGCATGAAAGCAATGTGAATTATGGAATACGTGTACTGTTTTGGCTCTTCCTGTTTTTTATTAAATTTGTCATTTACAGATTCAAATTGTTTAAAATATATATATATAATTGTCATGCATTATAAGAAAAATTAATTATTACTAAAAAGAAGCAACTTTTCATGTATCACTGTTTATTATAAATAATACAGTCAGCATTATTATAATTAATCAAGATGTTGCTCGATATTGTTTCACGCAAACAAAGTGAAATAGGTTTACTTGTTGCTATTGCATGTAAGTGTTTGTGGCACTGGAGAGGTAAGTGAACGAGATGTGCAGTGTGCAATATAGTTGAGAAGAGCAGCGGCAGCTGGGGCAGCAGTACACAGGATTAATACAGGAGCATATGACTCCATCTTGTCGACAATAAAACCAGCTATGGGGGGCCCAGACAGGGCTCCAGCTCCTGTTACAAACAGTAGGTAGCCAAGCACATGACCCACCCTAGCCCCTGAGGTTAACTGTGAGGGCATGAGAGCATATAGAACACTCTGCAGCCCACATGCTACACCCATGCCCACCATGGCTGCCACGAGTTGCCAAGGAGCTGAAGAGATTGACGCACAGCCAATTGTCACAGATAATAGAAATTGTATGCCACTGAACAGTATAAGTGGAGGCAGACCCTGTCCCATGATGAACCCAGCTAGCATTCGACCCAAGATATCGCCAGCACCACTCCCAGACAGGGCTGCAGAGAAAGCCACTGCCAGCCCTGACCAAACTGTCCAGTCAAGGAAGACTGCATACACGGTGGTGGTAGCCATGAAGCTGAAGAAGCACGATGCCTCCAGCAGCCAGAAGGTTGGGGAACGCAACAACTGCCGCATCGTTATAACTTCAGTCCCAGTACATTGGTTCTTCGGTGAAGTCTTATCTCTAATACGGCGTTTCATACTAGATTTCCAGTCATGTAGGTGTTGGCATTGCTGGTTTTGTGGATGGTGATGTGCTAGTGACCACACACTTCCAATGGCTACTGGTGGCTGCACAGCAAGCGTCTCTGTTAAAGTTTTGGTCTCCAAATGGGCCTCCGATTCAAAAATGTCATTACTGTGGAAACTTTCCTCACTGGTGTCATTAATGTCACTGTCGCAACTGGCCACAGCCTTTTCCATGTCATTAGCAACCACCATTAACAGTTTGTTTTCTTTGCAAAATCCTCTTTCCAATGTAGGCTGCCTAAGTCGACTGTAAATAGTAGCACCACAAACAGAAAAGTTGAATGACATTCCAGCACAGATGAGCATAGCTCCACGCCATCCATACTCGTGGACGATGATCTCCATGACAGGACCAAGGAAGAAGACGCCAAAACCTGAGCCAGACATAATTATTCCGACGGCAAGAGCATGGCGACGCTTCCAGAACCTGGTCAGCCCCACAATCCATCCAGAGAAATTGAGACTCGTTCCAACAGCTGCAACAATAAAACATTGCTATACATAACAATGTTTTGTACTCGGCACAATAACATATTGTATGATTTCAAATGCATGCACTTTATATTCAGTATTTCACAGTGTTTACTACAGTACTGTATTATTGTCATCAATATCATAAAAATATGAGAGCAGTATTGTGTTAGTGTTAGATTACATATTAGACATATTGTACATGCTGTATGTTTATGTATACTATAAAAGATTTTACAAGAAAAATTTTCATCTTAAAACTGTTTAGGCCTTAAAATACTAACAAAATGAACCTGGTACACATGCAATCTTTAAGGACAGTAATGAAGTACAACATTGAATTGTTAGAATTCATAGTTAACCATAATCCTTAATCAGCATATAAAAATTTTATGTTTTTGATTTAATATTCATATTCAGCACAGAGAAGAAGTACATCTGGTGAGATTTTATATGAAATAAGAGAAGTTTTTGAGTCTTTAAAAATATGATTTTATTAAAAATATTAATTTGTCCAAATTTTACCTAATGTACATTTATACATGCTGATTAAGAATAATGAGTTAACAACTATAAAGTCTCCCAATTTAACTGCAAAATATACAACTATTGCCAAACAAGAAGTATTCAAACTGAAGTAAACCTGCCTAACCTACTGAGGGTGACACAGAACCTGCCAATACTGTACCTTAATTTTAACTAATACAGTACATCTTATTTTTTACAGATTGGTTGATTTAAAAAAAAATAAGAATTAAGGTTAGAGGACACTTAAAAGAAGGTATTCCTATAATGTACAACTCTGTCATGTCTGAAAGCATAACCCTATTTTCCAATGATAATCAGAGTATATATTACATTCCATTTTCTAGGAACATAACTACAGTGTTAAATAAGGGTTGATCGGGCAGGATACTACTAAAATGTAGAAGTACATTTTTGTGTGTCCTAGAGTTTCTGGAAGACTATGACATGCTGATTGAATGCAAGACTGTCCTGCTGAATCAAGATATCTGCTTACATTGGGTATTATTATTCTTCAGCAGGTGATAAAAGAAATACAATTTAATGAATTTTTGTCTGCAGGTTGTCAAGAGGCAATTGGCAGCATGTTAGTGTCAACAAAGGGTTGGGGTCCCATGCTTATTCATTTCCATTCTGCACTTGCACAAGAAAATAATGAAAGTAAATACTTTTCTCATGCTCAGTTAGTGAAATAATCCTCCAGTCCACTGACCATTGACAAAGCCGTATGTGAAGAAGATAACATTCAGATTTGGAGCAAAGGCAGTCATGACATAGCCCAGGGCAGCAAAAATTCCCCCAAGCATGACGGCAACACGGGGGCCCCAGCGGCTAATGACCCATCCGCCCAGGGGACCACAGAACATATGCACTGCTGAATTAGTTGAGTACACCCACCCAGTCTTTGCCCGTGTTTCCTCGAAGGTTTGCAGCAGCTCCACGAAGAATACACTGAAGGAATAATACATGCCTGGAGGGCAGGAATAGGTTAAGTTCATAGATTATCATTCCATTTTGCTGTATCAAAATTTCTTCAAACCCCATGTTCCTGCATTAATAAAAACACATTGATTGCCCAAAGAAACAGCAATACAGGCAGGCATTGGCAAGTAGCCTAGCCTAGTGATATCATTGCCCAAGTACCTGGGGTGTGAAACCGAATTGAGATCATAGTTAATCAGGGTTTGTGTAATAAAAGTTCTGGTGTTAAGACAAATGAATTAAGGAATGAGTGTTAATGGATTGCAAAATGATTGGATGATGTGACCTAGACATTGTTTCGTAGTTCTGTTAGCTCGTGTGCACCTAGTAGTAATTTGAGACAAGGATGTAGATTGTGTCGTGGGAAAAATATTTAAGGTCAAAATATGCTGGGGTAGAGAGCTACAAAAAAAAGTTAGTCTTAATTTCCTGGTCTGTATCCTCCAAGGTAAAAAAATAAATTATGCTAAAGCATGAGTGTGTGAGGGAGAGGATTTGGTAATGTTGAACAAATGCTGAAGAGTCCTGTATTCGACTAAATGAAAGTATGAGAATATGTTTCATACACCAGGGCTCCAGGTCACCTGGAGGCTGTTATAAGTACAGTACTAGTTTCGAGTGATTTATTTGTTTTGACTGCATAGCTTGCAGAGTCGTGTGTGTGTTTCAGTGTTTCATTTTCTTTGAACCTTGCAGTTGTCTGTAAAGTCTCTCTGACTTTCTGAATGCTTTTCCTGTGTGTGTGGGGGGGGGGGGGGAATGACAAAAATATTCCCCCAACTCCTTGCCCCTCTATGAGGGAACCTGGTTCAGGCTTTGGTTTTCGGTAGGCTAAACAGGACCCCCTGCAAGTGAAATTACCCTGTAGTGATGACCCATTTTACCAAAACAGCTTCTGGGAGCCACTGGGGCTCTACCAGAAGAGGTGTTTATGATTTTGTATAGTGACTTAATTATATAGTTATGATTTTTGTATAGTTTATGATTTTCTGCATTCAAAACTGTTTTTTATGGAGATGCAGCCTTATGTGGGAGAAATGGTAAATGGATGATGTCTTCAATGTGTTTGGTATTTACATCTTAGCTTTATGCAACAAAAATAATAAAATAAATGTCAAAAATGACAAAATATAATTATACAATTAAAGTAATAATCTCAGAAGCTTCCTAAATGATGATCAAACCACACACCAAAAGATGACGTGATGACATTTCGGTTGATGCTGGACTATTATCAAGTCGATTGTGACTCGATAATGGTCCATGATGAACCAAAACGTCGCCATCTCTTCAACTTTTGCTGTGTGGTTTGGTCATCATATCTTCAGCCATGTAATTGTGACTCATCATCTGTAGTGCTTAAATATTCCCTTTTTTTTTCACATCAAATAAGGTGCCTGGGAACCTTCCTAAACCACGTTCAGACCAGTGCTGCGAGAGGGCCAAACCAGTTTACACAAATGCTGTAGTGCAAGATTTGTATAGCTTTGTACTGCTGATATTGTGGAAAAATGTTAAGAAATACATTTTGAGATGTTCGATGACATGTCCATGTTATTTTTAAGCCAAAACTCTTAGGAGAGTCAGTTTGGAGCGTTAAAACACAGCTGATTGGAAAGTCTGTCCAGAGCATTATTGGAACACACTCATGCTTCCATAAACAAAATCAGAGGTGCAAGTACAACACAGCATATAGTTGCATAGTATTGTAATTTGAATAATGATCTTTTTTTCATCAATGATCATTTTCTGATAATGATCAAGATGACCTGTGTAAAATTCATTGAATAAAATAAGAGTTTATATAAATGTACCAGACAAGCAAATAGTGCACGTGTGACAACAAAATTCTTAAATAATACTCACCTGGAATGCACAGGAAAAAACATTTTTTTCTTTTACAGATATATGCAAAATTACTGTTGCAAGGCAAATCATCTAGAGCCAAGATTCCCACCTGAGGAAATGCAGAACTGAATGAAGGCAGCTACTGCCACCACCCACGCCCACCCGCCATCCACATCTGGGCTACAAGTGGCGTGGGCGTCACCACGGATGCAACTAGTGGATGAAGCTACATTTCTCTCCGAACATTCCAACACATCTACCTCTGTGGGAAATTAGCACCAGATATTATGAAATATAAGAGAGCTTCTCATAGTTATATGTCTTAATGTTATATTCATATATGACCTATCTTATGATTGGCAAAATTACATACTATATTGTAAATTAACTTTTGTAGTTTTGCAAAGTTGCTGGATATTTCACAGCTGGGAGGAAATAACTATTAATTTCTGAAAGAATGGTGGGCATTGCCTGCAAGTTAGTTAATAATGGTTTATAGACAAATACATCTCATCTTGTTTCATTGACCCTTTGACTGCAATTCACGCTAATGAATGCTCTTTACATCTAATGCATTGCATGCTGTTCATGAGCTCCAATGTCCAATGAGCTTTTTAGCATGTGCATAACTAGAGATGAAGTCTGGCTGATGTATGTTTGTACCTCCAACAGTCAGTGATGTCTGGGAATAACGTGGCCATGTTAGGAAAATTTGCCTGAGCTTCAGTGTCAATTGAACCATCGAAGAGAACACATTTCTTGCTCCTTACTTTCCCTAACTTCTTGATTCAGAGAGGAGCATCAGGAAGAAAGTCTTCTAGAAAATCAAGAATTCAAGAGAGGATGATGAATAAAAACAGTAAGATGGAAGAAAAGAAAGACTTTTGTAAGACCATCTGTGAGAATATGAAGAGAATGACTTCTGGAACAGCATTAAAGAGGAGACTATGGCAATAGACTAGGAAGAACATGATGGAGAAAGCTGGATAGCAGGTGACTACCACGGGCTGGAAACGATTTGTTCCCCCCAAAATTATTTTACCGTCATTCTGAGATTCTTCGACTTGGGGCTTGGCTGATGCTGAAATATATTCTTGCGTGAGGGTTGAGGTATGTATGAGGGTGGGATTGGATGCAGGTACGATGGTAGGCATAGAGGCTTGTATGAAGGTGGGTGTAGAGTCCGGTACGAGGCTGGGCATATGGGCTTGTATTAGGGTGGGCGTTGAAGTATGTATGCGGATGGGCATGGAGGCATTTGTGAGGGCATGGATGAGGTTGGGCGTGGAGCAGGTGACAGTGTTGATTAGATTGACCTCCATGCTGCTAATCAGCATGAACCTCTTGGATGCCCTCCAGGAAGGAGTCTTCCACCAGTGTGGTTTGTGGAGCCATCAAAAGTCACCTGAGGAAAGACACATTGTTGTTAGTAATAAGAATAAGAGAAAATACTGGGAAGATACTCTAAATATTATTTAAACAAATTTTAAAAAAGTATGTGGATTGCAGTTTGAAAATATAAAGATAGTATCATCAGTAAATAATACTGTATATGTTTATGAACGTTAGAGACGTTCAGCAAGTCACTGATGCACGTCAAGAAGAGACGTGGTATAACGAGAACAGTCTGGATGTACAGGTACCTGTATATTACCTACAACGTTCATAAACAAATAGGAGAGGTCCTAGGATGCTGCCTTGTGACAAGGCTATATATAATGGTAGAATAAAAGCCTTGAGAGACTGCTGGTGGTATAACTTACTACCCATCTACCATTTGGTTGTTTTGTTACTGGATCCTCATGCATAGTCCTGCTTGACGGTCTGATCTTCGCACAGTCCTCCTGCTTGACGGTCTGATCTTCGCACAGTTGTCCTGCTTGATGGTCTGATCTTTGCACAGTCGTCCTTATTGATGGTCTGATCTTTGCACAGTCGTCCTTATTGATGGTCTGATCTTTGCACAGTCGTCCTCGTTGATAGTCTGATCATTGCACAGTCCTCCTGGTTAATGGTATGAGCTTTGCACAGTCCTCATTGATGGTCTGATCATTGCACAGTCCTTGTTGGTGGTGGGTGTAGTGAGGGATGGTGTATGCAGTGGTGGGTGTAGTGATGGATGGTGTATACAGTGATGGATGGTGTATGCAGTGGTGGGTGTAGTGAGGGATGGTGTATGCAGTGGTGGGTGTAGTGAGGGATGGTGTATGCAGTGGTGGGTGTAGTGATGGATGGTGTATGCAGTGATGGGTGTAGTGATGGATGGTGTATACAGTGATGGATGGTGTATGCAGTGGTGGGTGTAGTGATGGATGGTGTATACAGTGATGGATGGTGTATGCAGTGGTGGGTGTAGTGATGGATGGTGTATGCAGTGGTGGGTGTAGTGAGGGGTGATGTATGCAGTGGTGGGTGTAGTGATGGATGGTGTATACAGTGGTGGGTGTAGTGATGGATGGTGTATACAGTGGTGGGTGTAGTGAGTGATGGTGTATACAGTGATGGATGGTGTATACAGTGGTGGGTGTAGTGAGGGGTGGTGTATGCAGTGGTGGGTGTAGTGATGGATGGTGTATACAGTGGTGGGTGTAGTGATGGATGGTGTATACAGTGGTGGGTGTAGTGAGTGATGGTGTATACAGTGATGGATGGTGTATACAGTGGTGGGTGTAGTGAGGGATGGTGTATACAGTGGTGGGTGTAGTGAAGGATGGTGTATGCAGTGGTGGGTGTAGTGAGGGATGGTGTATGCAGTGGTGGGTGTAGTGAAGGATGGTGTATGCAGTGGTGAGTGTAGTGAGAGATGGTGTATGCAGTGGTGGTGCAGCAGGCCTTGTCCCCACGGACGGACTACTTAGGTCCTATTGTTCCCAGGGCTCACACACGGATGTGTAATATTAAGTGCAGCGAGGGCGTCGGTGTTGACATGTAGGTCCCCATGACTGGTCATGGAGCCGCCCTAGACGAACCAGACCCGTGACGTCAGCCACCTCCCTTCCTCCCTCATGATCGGGCCCCTCCCCGTCTCCCTCCTCATGATCGGAGCCCTCCCCGTCTCCCGCCTCATGATCGGGCCCCTCCCCATCTCCCGCCTCATGATCGGGCCCCTCCCCGTCTCCCGCCTCATGATCGGGCCCCTCCCCGTCTCCCGCCTCATGATCGGGCCCCTCCCCGTCTCCCGCCTCATGATCGGGCCCCTCCCCGTCTCCCGCCTCATGATCGGGCCCCTCCCCGTCTCCCGCCTCATGATCGGGCCCCTCCCCGTCCCCCGCCTCATGATCGGGCCCCTCCCCGTCTCCCGCCTCATGATCGGGCCCCTCCCCGTCTCCCGCCTCATGATCGGGCTCCTCCCCGTCTCCCGCCTCAAGTTCGGGCCCCTCCCCGTCTCCCGCCTCATGATCGGGCCCCTCCCTGTCTCCATCTCAGCTCGTGATCAATGTAGAATGGATCTGCCAGGTGGTATCCCTCACAAACAAACAGGTAATATTTTTTGTTTGCACACCCAATATAAGGGCAGACGCAACTCACTCATGCTAGCCAGCACGTCCACTGGAAGACTGACGGTGTGTGTTGCAGGAACAGGTGATGCTGGCTGGAGTAGATGTATCAGTTTCTTAAGCAGTATCCGGTACAGCAAGAAGCTTGTTGATTGCAGTAACGAATAATTGTTGACCTGGCGAAGCTGCCCGCAACGTGAAGTAGTACCTTAACTGTACTATTGCCAGTCGTGGTTGATGGTTGCGTTGGTGATTGTGGTTGAGTAGTTCCTATCTTAGCAGTAGGCTGACGTGTGGAAGCACTGCTGCCTGGATGTTCAAGGTTGCTGTAGATCTTGTTGGGCGGGTCGGTGTTGATGCTTCTCTGGCCTCAGACATCTTTATGCAGTTTGGGGTCGTGTGGAGGCACCCAAACGGAATGGCAATGTTGGCTCCACCACACAGTATGCGGCGTTGGTTGGTCGACTGGCAGTCCTTGAACTGGTGATCCTTGGCACAGATGCTACATTTGTGGCTTGAAGCGAACAACAACAGCTGTGTGCTAACACGTGTCTGGCATAGCAACAACAGCTGTGTACTAACACGTGTCTGGTACAGCAACAACAGCTGTGTACTAACACGTGTCTGGCATAGCAACAACAGCTGTGTACTAACACGTGTCTGGCATAGCAACAACAGCTGTGTACTAACACGTGTCTGGTACAGCAACAACAGCTGTGTACTAACACGTGTCTGGTACAGCAACAACAGCTGTGTACTAACACGTGTCTGGTACAGCAACAACACCTGTGTACTAACACGTGTCTGGTACAGCAACAACACCTGTGTACTAACACGTGTCTGGTACAGCAACAACAGCTGTGTACTAACACGTGTCTGGTACAGCAACAACACCTGTGTACTAACACGTGTCTGGTACAGCAACAACACCTGTGTACTAACACGTGTCTGGTACAGCAACAACACCTGTGTACTAACACGTGTCTGGTACAGCAACAACACCTGTGTACTAACACGGTCTGGTACAGCAACAACACCTGTGTACTAACACGTGTCTGGTACAGCAACAACAGCTGTGTACTAACACGTGTCTGGTACAGCAACAACACCTGTGTACTAACACGTGTCTGGTACAGCAACAACAGCTGTGTACTAACACGTGTCTGGTACAGCAACAACAGCTGTGTACTAACACGTGTCTGGTACAGCAACAACAGCTGTGTACTAACACGTGTCTGGTACAGCAACAACAGCTGTGTACTAACACACAGCAACAACACCTGTGTACTAACACGTGTCTGGTACAGCAACAACAGCTGTGTACTAACACGTGTCTGGTACAGCAACAACAGCTGTGTACTAACACGTGTCTGGTACAGCAACAACAGCTGTGTACTAACACGTGTCTGGTACAGCAACAACAGCTGTGTACTAACACGTGTCTGGCATACCACCAACACTGTTGTATGCAACAAAAACGTGATCTGGAATTAACAGTTAGTTAACCATGTGTGGAGAAGCGAGTCAGAGATCAAAATATTCTTCAGATTAAGGCTGTGGAAGCATTTTTTCTACCACAGACATGGCCACACATTTGCGATGTTAAGATCACATACATTTTCTTCTGTCCTCCATGGATAAGGTTAGAGATCTGTTCAACGATTTACTGAACAACCACAGAAAGTGATTGTAGTGCTAATAAAATGCTAATCTAACCTACATACATACATAAACACAGATATACGTCTGATCTACATAAAATTACAGTGTTCTATTTGTCTTTTTTACATAATGTCATTAACGTACGTTTGCAAAGGTGAGATGCAATTTTCCACATATCCTGTATACACATACAAACGAATATATATATATATATATATATATATATATATATATATATATATATATATATATATATATATATATATATATACACACACACACACACACACATTCACATTTATGTCTGTCCTCCTTTAACAGGGTAAGATAGTGCTATACTAACTAGTGTGGAAGCAGTGTATGTTTAGATTTAACCCGTCCTCCCAAGGTTGGCCTTAATTAGGAGTTGTTTGTTGAGGCGTGTGTGTGTGCCTACTCCAACCTCGGATAAAACTGTCATTATACAGATGGAGAGATATAGATAAATACATATTGGTCATGTAACATTCATGGTACACTCATTGACTTTTCCTTATTAAAATGTCACTCGCTAATTACGCGCAACGACTCGACCAACACATTTTTTGGTAAGCTAGTCTTGGTTTTAGATTTAAAATAAAGATAGAGCTATTTTTTAATTCAGTATGCAAGTTTAGTAATGAAGCAAAGAGTAAAGGAGCTAGTGAACAAGTACTCAAGTTATACTTCAATGTCAACTGCATTGACCAACTACTCGAGGTCAATGTAATCAATCAGAGCTTTAATATACCAATGTGCTTTAATATACTTACTAATCTTTCTCATCTCATTTTTTTCTTGCAATGTATCTGTTATCATTTTATTAATTCTGCTAGAATTTACCTATTTAAAATTATTTTTTTTTTTTTTTTTTTTTGAAATATATACAAGAGTTGTTACATTCTTGAAAAGCCACTAGTACGCGTAGCGTTTCGGGCAAGTCCTTAATCCTATGGTCCCTGGAATACGATCCCCTGCCGCGAAGAATCGTTTTTTCATCCAAGTACACATTTTACTGTTGCGTTAAACAGAGGCTACAGTTAAGGAATTGCGCCCAGTAAATCCTCCCCGGCCAGGATACGAACCCATGACATAGCGCTCGCGGAACGCCAGGTGAGTGTCTTACCACTACACCACGGAGACTTATGTTAGATTAAGGACCTGCCCGAAACGCTGCGCGTATTAGTGGCTTTACAAGATTGTAAATACTATGCCATGTATTCTCACA